GGACGCTGACGGTGGATTGATTTTGTTGTTGAACTGATCCATGGAGAGATGTTCTCCACCCATAATATCATCTCCTCTCAGAGATCCCGTTCCTCACCCACTCGTCAGCATCACCATCAAAAACCAAACCAACATTGTATCATGATATGTTGTTTCACCTGTTCTGTGAATGTGAGGAAACCCGACAGCGTCTGTACAGATAACAATGATCTACAGACCCACAGCTCCTCCAGACCTCCTCACAGCTCTGAGATCCTCTCCACACTGCAGCTCCGCTCGCTGAGCGTCTGAGCGCTCTGACTGATGAGGTTCTGCTGGAGGTCTGTGTAACGAGTCTCTGAGGAGCAGAACCGGTTCCTCTGAAGATGAAGAACGCTCTAAAAGGGACGCAGTTCTTTCATTATATGCTACAAGCGCACACACACTGGGGGGACGTGAGGGGGGTGGTCTAGGGGGACAGTAAAAAGAGTAAACAGACAAATAAACAATTAAATAAACAAAGAACAGGTAAAACTAATCTAATAGCTCTTTACTACTGGGGGGCAGGATGGTAGAGAGGGGGTAGAGAGAGAGTGGTAGAGAGATATAGAGATGTAGCGAGAGTGGTAGAGAGAGAAAGAGTGGTAGAGAGAGAGGTAGAGAAAGATAGCGAGAGAGTGGTAGAGAGAGTGAGGGTAGAAAGAGAGAGTGGTAGAGAGAGAGAGACAGAGATAGAGAGGGAGAGAGTATATAGTGGAGTGGGTGTGGTTTGTACGCTGTAATTGGCTGTGTGTGTCTGTGATTAATCACTCTGTCTCTCTCTCAGAGCTGCCGGGGGGCTCTGAGGGTCTCACAGGGAGAGAGAGAGAGAGAGAGAGAGAGAGAGAAGAGACACCCCGGCTCCAGCCCGGCCCAGCGGGGGGTTAATGAGCCCCCCAACAGAGCCGGAGAAGCAGAGACCCTCTGAAGAGGGACTGAAGCCCTGCAGGAGCTGGATTAGCTTTATTTTAGGGGTGCTGTAATCTGAGTGGTGACTGATGAGAACCAGGATTTTAATCCAGTGTGAATCTGCAGTTTTTACATTATTTATTATTATAAATAATAATTCCAGAGTGAATCACCTTCTGTATCCGGCTGAATTCCTCCAGTAACAGCGCTGGAATTTCAGTGAACAGTGAAAATCTCGGCAGTGTGGAGCGATTTAGACATAAGATTTATGATCTCTGCTTATGAGGAGAATCAGGAGGAGATACAACACCCAATAATGTCTCTGCTGTGGGTTTCATAGCACCTGAAGACCAGAGTGGAACCTGCAGAACCTTCTAGGTCTTCAGAGAAGGTCTAATGAGTCCTAGGAACTAAAAATATGTAATTTATGTAGTTTTTAGTTCATTTTTGTTCAGTAGAATCCTGCTTGTGTTTAGGTTCTGTGTGTATTACAGTCATACTCTTAATTCATTGCTCGGTTTTGGTTGGTAACCCTAGAAGGGTTAAATTCTTGAAAAGCCGGACAGAAAATGGTCCAATCAGGATTGTTCTCTCTGTGGTATCTGGGTAGATACAGCTGAGCTGCTCTCCCATTGGTCAGGACTTCAGGAGCTGGACCGAAGGTCTTACACGTTAGATTAACTATCAACATCATTAGAAAGTGGCAGAGGAACCAACCAATCACAGCGAAGCTCCAGCAGCTCTGCTGTGTCTGCGTATGTTTCACTGCTGTATGAATGCTGTGTGTATCCTGTAAGGATCAGCGTGTTTATAGCGGCGCTGCTCGGTTTCAGGGCTCTGGACTGATGATATTCTGTCAGTGAGGTGGTCAGTGTGGTCTGAAAGGTTCTGACGTTCTCACTGTTCTGTTGTTCTCTGTATGCTGGTCAGCAGAGCTCTGTGTCATAAATCAGCTCTGCTGCTGAATTATTGAAGTGAAATCATTCAAACGCTGTCGCTGTGAAGCCGACCGCACTGCCAGCTCGTCTCATCTGAGGAACCACATTTCAATGAATTATTGAAGCAGCATCGTCTCACTGAGACGCTACAAAGCATCGTTAAATATTCATTACAGTAAAAGCCACGAGCACTGAGCATGCTGATGGACAGAACTGTGACCTTCACAATGCACTGCGCTCTGAAGATGGTAGAAGATGGAGTCCAGGCTGCGGACGGGTTCAGAGCGGTTCTGGTGTCACTGCAGTTGTTTACAGCTCTGATGTAGCTGTTTTGCTTTTGTGGCTATAACAGCTTATAACTGGATTCTGTTCAGCTTCTCAGAGTCGACATCTTCACTCATCTTCACTCATCTTCACTCATCTTCACTCATCTTCACTCACAACTCATAAAAACTGCAGTCTTTACGTTGTGTTGGTGATCATCACATACAGATTTGACAGTATCTACAATGAATTATTCAGTATCTACAATGAATGATTCAGTATCTACTATGAATTATTCAGTATCTACAATGAATGATTCACTATCTACTATGAATGATTCAGTATCTACTATGAATGATTCAGTATCTACTATGAATTATTCAGTATCTACTATGAATAAGTCAGTATCTACTATGAATTATTCAGTATCTACTGTGAATTATTCAGCATATTCTATGAATTATTCAGTTATTCAGTAGTACTGAATATACAGTCGTATGCAAAGTTTGTGAGCCTCTGGTGTGTCTCTGTAGAGGACGTTTTAAAATATTTACATATACTAATACACACAGTATTAGTATATGTAAATATACTATGTATATATATATATATATATATATATATATATATATAGACTATGTATATATATATATATAGTATATTTACATATATATACACAGTATGTGCTGTGCATTACCTGCTGTCCTGGAGAAGTGAGTGTGTTCAGTAACCGTCCCTCGGCGCTGTGTTGACTCTGATGCTGTTCCTCCTCCGTGCTCTGCAGAGACGTCTCTGTAATCCTGACATTCAGGAGCGTCTGCTTTAATCCCGCCTCTGTATCTAACAGCTCTGCGGAGCTGCAACACTTTCATTTCCTCCAGATCCAGCAGCTCTGCCTCCTGCTCGCGGTCCACGCCGCGCTGAGGGAGTAAACAGATAAATACCGGGCTGAACCGGCGCTTCTGTTCTGCTGGAAACACTGAGCCGTCTCCTGCGCCTGAGAGAGGAAGCGCGCTAGAAGGAGATGAAAGTTCTGGCAGCTTTGATCCATCATAAAGGAGAGAATGGAGGAAAAGCTGCGCGCTCTCGGGGAAAACGCCATTCTGAGAACAGTGAAGAGGCAGTGTTGGTTTAGAGCTCCAGGGAGATCAGCGCAGATTATAAACTTCACTGGGCAAAAGTTCACAGAAGGACTTTTATTTTGAAGTATACCTTCTTAAGTGTAATGGAGCTTATAGAGGCCTATAAAGAATTTTAGATATGGAGACTCTTATTGAATCAGTTACCACAGTAAAAAAATATTCAAAAAGACAATGAAGTATTCAGATCTTAGATATTCACAAAGCATTTATAGAGATAGTAATAAGCTAGATATAAACACAATCATTTACAGGGTACTTTCTGTTGGGAGGATTCTGTCCCAAACCCTAACCCCTAAATTTCAACAAAAGTAATATTTTTGTTTAAAATGCTGTCCCACATTTTCATCACCATCGAAACACAAAGAGTTTTAGTCTGTAGGTGGAGCCTTATTTTAGCCACGCCCCTGCATTTCAGAGCAGGAAGTGAGGCTGCCTCCCTGTCCCTCATGGCCAGATGGTGAGCAGTTAGATCCCATTGTTTTAAAATAAATGAGTCCCAAAGTCTGAAAATCAGTGTGGAACATTAAGAATCGTCATATTTTCTGCAGTTCAGCACTTTTTAGTGTTTTAATGATAAATATGATTTTCTGTGATATATGTGAATATATCAGTATTTGATCTTCATTAAACAGTATGTATAGATAAACGTTCTGCAATAGATCAAAAAACATGGGACATTTGAATTTCCAATCATTTATTTAAAAATAAACTAACCGAAATGTCATTTTTGTGTGTTGAAAAAGTAAGTGCACCCATAGCTTCAGTAACTGGTGCCGCTCCCTTTGGCAGAAACAACTTTATGTAGGCGTTTATGTAGACCACCCCCACAGCATTCCAGTGGGATTCGGATCTGGGCCGTTCCACAGTGAACCATTTCTTCCTTTGAGCCAAACAGCTCTATCTTTGACTCGTCTGGTCAGAACACACTCCAGAAGTCCTGGTGCTAACCTGGATATTGATTAGCAAACTTTAGTCTTGCCCTGATGTTCTAGTTAGACAGTAAACACACCTCCCATGTAGGAGCAGCCTTTTTCTAATGGTAGATACATTCACTTTGACATCAACCGTAGCAAAAGCTACCTGCAGACTCTGGGAACTGAGAAGTTCTTAAAGACTTCTTTTAGTGGGGAAACTTTGCTGGGCGGCCTGGCAGCGTTTAAATTTCTCCACTTGTAGATCATCTTCCGAACAGTGGAATGATGGATTTCTATTATGGACGTCTTCTCAAACTCCCAGAATCAGAGACACCTACAACCTTGTTTCTGAAGGTCTCAGAGAGCCCTTGATGATACCACACTCTCCAGTAACGAAGAGCAAACCAGACCAGATATCTGAGATTTAAATAAGACAGTTTCCTCCAAGATGTTCTTTAACAGTGTTCTAACCATTAGAACCTGATCAGTACTTCCTTTTCTGCCTAAGAACATTGCATTTCTGTTCATTTCAGTTACATAAAGGATGACAAAAAGTTTAAATTTTAAGTGTCATGTTCTTTCTGTATTATTTATATTGTTTTCATTTGAATTAATCTTGTTTTACCTTTTACTTTCTTCTTAAGTGTATATGCTGTATGAAATGTAAATGAAGTTTACGCCTCGTTTCTCAGTGCTGAATCATTCTGCTCCACATACAAATACAAAAAAACATCCACAACAAACGTCGTACTATAGTAACACAGTCAGTGTCCTCCTGAATGACCAGCTCATCGGTCATTTCTCTCTTTATTCAGGTGAAGGTGATGCTGCGCGTGTGTCCCGTCTCTCCGGCCGATTCAGAGTCCAGCTCTTTCCTGAAGGTCGACCCTCGTAAGAAACAAGTAACCATCATGGACCCTGAGGCCAATGCCCAGCAGAACCCCGCCCAGAAACGCCCCGCCTCCAACCAGGCTCCGCCCAAAATGTTCGCCTTCGATGCTGCCTTCTCCCACGATGCCTCACAGGTTAGCAGCTCAAACGTCTCAGAGGAATCCAGTTAAAACTTCCAGCTTTTCTTCAGGCTGAACTGCATTTGTTTATCTGTGTCTGTAGATGTTGTGTAATACACCAACAGCAAAAGTGAAAATCCAGTTTATTCCAAAATGTAGTCAATCAGCCAAAACTCAGTCTGCGTGATTTTTAGCTACGCTAATGTACTTTAGTCCATGTTTATAGTCAGTGTGTGAAATCCCACCAAATAAAACCAAACTCTTGGGAAACTGGGCGAGTTTTCAGATTTACAGATCTGCTGCAGCTCATTGTAAAGTTTTTCAGAGGAATCCTGGCAGAGTTACAGTTTCTAGACTATGAAGGACCAACTGGGTGAACCAGTCTGCTACAGCGCCACCCTGAGGCAGAGCAGTGCTGCAGTTCTAGTTAGTTAAGAACACCAGAGACAGAAGCTGATTGTGGGTGAAGCAGATAAACAATCAGCTTCACTGAGTCTGGATTTGAGTGAATATTTTTAGCCTAGCGAGCAGCAGAACACCATAATTTTATTTTCAGAGACCCCCAGAATTTGATTTTGACACATTCAGGGGGTCTAAGAGATTAATTCAGACACTCAACATGTCTTTGTTCCTCGACTAATAGATTTTTAACTTTCATGTTTATAGTAAGCACTGTAAACACTGGATCTCACAGTAACTAATAGTAATAACACAAAGTAATAATAAGGAGTAAAGTATGAAACTGCGCCCCCCACAGGCCGAGGTGTGTGCAGGGACGGTGGCGGAGGTGATCCAGTCGGTGGTGAACGGAGCTGACGGCTGTGTGTTCTGCTTTGGACACTCCAAACTGGGTAAGAAACAAACCTTCAACACCTCACCTGCTGACGCTAACGCTAACAACCGCTCCCTCAGCTCGTCTCCCTACCTTTAACAGACGGCCTTTACAGCGGCTCTAGTTTCAGCTTCGGTTTATTTAGTTCAGACTTCTGTTGACGTCCTGAAGGTCCTGATATTTCATTGGATGCTATTGTTCGTTTTTGTGTCATCATTGTCTATAAATCTCATTGCTGTGTCAGTGAATGTTCTAAACTGGATTATATAATTAAATTGTACAAAACAAACAATAAATTGTGAAAAATAATGTGATTGTAAAAAAGCAGCACTAAAAGCGCCGCGTGATGGGACAGCAGTCACACAGCGTCACTTTATGATTTAAAATGAAAGGCAGGTTCATCTGAAACAAGTCAATAATTCAACAGCAGCCGTTTGGTAACGATGGCAGAGGGTTCACGATCCGACTCGGCCTCAGACTACGGGCTGCACGACTTCAGATTGTTTAAAGTGGACAGTTATGACCACATGATCACGTGATTATGACACTAACTAAACGGACGCCTCAAAGAAGACAGCAAGTGAGGAACGTGGTGGTTCTGGGGTCTGTATCTCTTTCCTGAAGGCCAGCAATGCAATCCAGGACTCCAATCTATCTCCAATCTGTCTCCGATCTGCCTCAGATCTATCTCCAATCTGTCTCCGATCTATCTCCAATCTGTCTCTGATCTATCTCCGATCTGTCTCTGATCTATCTCCGATCTGTCTCTGATCTGTCTCAGATCTATCTCTGATCTGTCTCAGATCTATCTCCGATCTGTCTCTGATCTATCTCAGATCTATCTCCAATCTGTCTCTGATCTATCTCAGATCTATCTCTGATCTATCTCCGATCTGTCTCTGATCTGTCTCTGATCTATCTCCAATCTGTCTCTGATCTATCTCAGATCTATCTCCAATCTGTCTCTGATCTATCTCCGATCTGTCTCTGATCTATCTCCGATCTGTCTCTGATCTATCTCCAATCTGTCTCTGATCTATCTCCGATCTGTCTCTGATCTGTCTCAGATCTATCTCCGATCTGTCTCTGATCTGCCTCAGATCTATCTCCAATCTGTCACCGATCTATCTCAGATCTGTCTCCGATCTGCCGCCAATCTGTCTCCAATCTATCGCCAATCTGTTTCCAATCTATCTCCAATCTGTCTCAGATCTATCTCCGATCTGTCTCCGATCTGGCTACAGTCTGTCTCCGATCTGTCTCCATTCTGTCTCCGCTCCATCTCTGATCTGCCTCCAATCTGTCTCCAATCTATCTCCAATCTGTCTCAGATCTATCTCTGATCTGTCTCCGATCTGTCTCTGATCTCACTCTGATCTGTCTACAGTCTGTCTCCGATCTGTCTCCGATCTATCTCCGTTCTGTCTCTGATCTGTCTCCGATCTGTCTCCGTTCTGTCTCTGATCTGTCTCCGATCTGTCTCTGATCTCACTCTGATCTGTCTACAGCCTGTCTCCGATCTGTCTACAGTGAAGTTCGGCTGTGTTTATTTCGTCTCTCAGTGATCAGACAGCTTTCCTCTCTATGTCTAGATTGGCCTGACTGTTATGAGAAAAGGCGATGGAGCCGCTCAGCTCCTAAAGGGTTAACAGTATTTGGGCTGTGTTCTGTATTTCATGTCCTCCTGCAGTGAAACAGGGAGATTAGTGTCAGTGTAAAGTGGCTGTGATGTAGCGGCTCCTGTGCCGCATCACCTCCACTCTCCATCTCTAATACGGTATAAGTGCTGCTTTCAGACGCCCGTTTTTCTGCCTGTTGTAATGAACGTCAGACATTAATCCACACGCTGTAACGTCTCGGTCCGTCTCTCTGAGACGCGCTTTACACGCAGTAAATAATCTCCCTGACGCCTAGCACGCTAGCGCTAGAATTAGCCTAATATTGCTTCTAAGGACGGAATGATTAAAAGAGAATCACACTGATTGAACATATTCCCATAATTCAGTGTGTGAGATGTAAACAGAGTGATTCAGAGTGGTTTGGTGTGAAATGGTTCAGATGTCTTTACAGTGGTGGTGATAGGAACCAGGGGTCGCCATGACTACAACACAAATATAGACATTTTATTTACTATCCAGAACCACCAGTGAACCTACACGAGTCTTCTGAGTTCATATGGAATGTTGATGATGGAAAATAGTGGAAAATCTGAAATAATAAGTTTTCTTTGGGGACTATTTTGCCTCACAGTGCCCTGCATGTATCCCTCCACTGTAAGTGGCTTTTAGAAATTGGTTAAAGACGTCTGGTTCCTATCACCACCACTGTGAACAGTTCTGACTCAGATGGTTAGAAATGGTTAGAAATTCCCTTGTAGGTTTTCATAAAATGGACCGAATGTCAGCACTTATATTGTTGCTTATTACAGTTGTGATCTGCTTTGCAATACATTAAAACACATTATATGTCATAATGAGTCAATAATGCAGGTTTAACAGTGCAGTTTTCAAACCGCAATTTAAATTATAGCCTTTCTTTTTAACAATGTTGTCACGAGTTTTAGCAGGGAAACTTGGGAACTGACTATAGATGAGTTAGACCAGTCAAAAGCAATCAAACACCCAACAGAGCCACAGCTAACTGGCAGCACCCGGCAGCATTCAAGCCTCAAACCAGAAAAAGTGAAAATCCTACATATACCGGTTCTCCTCAGTGCTTTTAGCCATTTTCAGCCTGGTCATTCAGAGCCATGAATCATCTCAGAAACAGTCAGACGAGTGGACGACAGGCTACCGCTAATTAAACTGGAACAAAGAGCCGCACGGCTGCCGCGTGTCTCACTGTTATATTTTATTTTAATTAAGAGAGTAACGCTTTAAACCCTGATGAAGTGGGGCTGGTGGGCTCGGTGACTCTGGGGGGGGGTGTGTGCAGGTTAATTGGCTCCGTGTCTGTTTGATATTAGAATAAATAAAAAGCGCTGCTGTTGTTTTTTAATCATGTTTTCTGTTTTGCCCTTGAAATGAATCTGAGACGCTGAATGAATTAAACATTAGAGAAAGCTGGACTGATACAGGCCGACTGGCTGAAACACTCTTAAAGCCAGAGTTCACTCACAGAATAGTAATAACAATAATAATAATAATAATAATAATAATAGATTCAAGACACTTCTCTTTACCTGTACTTGACACTAAAGCTCTTTCTGTTTTGACTTTGCACATCTTTTTATTCACTTAAATATCTAATAATTTTTTTTTTTTTAATAATTTTTAAAATGAATTTTATTTACTTTTTTTTCTGTCTTAGGTTTTTATGCTGTTTCTAAAAACTTTGCATTGTCTTTGCACGTAATACGTTCTGTATTAATAAGCTTAATAATAAGCTTAATTAAAAATAATCTAATAATAATAATAATAACAATAATAATAAATTGTAGAACTGCTCACCAGCCCAAAAACAGTCAAGAACACAAAGTACAAAGCAACAAACAGCACTAAGGACAGTAAATGAGTCATCATTGATGTTTAAGATGATTAAAGTGACAGTTTTTCCTGATTTGTATTCAATCAGCCAAAATGTTTTTAGTGTCTAAAGTCTGATTCTTTAGTTTTAGTGATGGAGCTACGAGGCTAATGTAGCTAACAGGTAATAGAAGCTTATAGCCCACCAATTAGCACTGTGCTAACCGCATGCCTAACGCTGTTATCCATTAAGATCTACCAAAGTACATTAGCATGAATACCAGCAGCAGAACTTTGTCCGTTTTTGTGTATTTTGTGTAAATGATATTTTTGCTGGACTGTCACTGTGATGTGAGAGCAGGTCACACTGTGATGCAGGTAAGAGTGAGTAACGCAGCTCAGGTGTTTGACTGAATAACGTGATCAGTCTGTACGCCGTGTAGCTCCGTTCCTGAGCGGATCAATAATAAATCAGAGCAGCGACAGTGAGGGACGGCTGGGGTGAGTGAAGGACGTCTGTGTGTAAAACTTTCAGAGAAATGTTCAGTAATTGGATCTCCAAAGTTTCTCCACTCGGCTGATTGAATTACAGGCTCTCAGCTCCGCCGCCCAGTTAAGAGTCCATCAATCTGCCTCTGCGTCTGAAAGTAAAAGCCAAGCAGCTTTAATCTACGTAAAAAGATCCGTTACAGGAGAGACGAGGATGACAAGTTACAGCTCTGCTCTCCTCAGAGGTTCTGCAGGACAGACAGAAGAACGTATGGAGCATCGTAATAAATCAGGAACTGAGCTCCTACAAAACTACCTAAAACTCAGAGTTTCAGATGAAAGATATTCACAGTGATTCTGTTCTGATCTGTTTAAATGGAAGACATTAATAGAGATAGTAATAAACTAAATATAAACACGGTCATCATTAATGGGCAACTTTCTGTTTACAAAAGAGTCAAAATAATATGTGCATTTTTTTATTTTTTATTTTCCTTTTTAAATCTTTCTGATTTATTTTAAATTTGGAAGTTTAACAGTTTAGATTTATCATTAGTTTTAGTTTTAAATGCTGCCTCATGTTTTCACGTCACTGAAACACAGTTTTAGTCTGTAGGAACTTTACAGACTTAAACGGTTCTTTATATGGTGAAACTGCTCTGCTTCAGATTGGTGGTGAATGTGATTTGAAAAGGGTTCTATGTAGCATCAAAAAGGTTCTTTGTGTTATGATGTCAAGCTTGTATACACGCTTAAAAAAGAGGGTTCTTCAAAGGTTCTTTAGTAAAGAAAATCTTTCTATATAGAACCACGGACACTCATAAACCACAAACCCAGCACGGCCGTCTTTGTGGAGAGGTGTGAATAGTTCTTCACAGCAGGGGTCTCTCACTCCTCCCCTTTCACCCCTCATTGCTCACTAGCAGCTCAACATTTCACACACAGAGAGACGACAGAGTCGTCGTTGATCTGATAACAGAGCTGCAAATTTAATAATTTTTATTAAAAATATCTTGGTCGATTTCCATTCTGTTGGTAGAATAGTCACTAGGGGGCGCTGCGGAAAGAGGCTACAGTAGTTCAATTCACCCGTTAGAAGGGACACATTTTACATACAGCAAATATTATTAGAAATATGGGTTGTTATAGAACCTAAAAGATTTGAGGCGAACCTATTATTTATAGTTTTTAAAGAACTTTTTAAAATGGTTCTGTTTAACGTTTAAAATGGTACCAAGTCATAGATCTGTTTCTGCTACAAAACAGAGGCTTTTTTCCTGAAAAATCCCTTTAAAACAGTTTCATGTAAAGCAGCACAGAGTAAGAACACAGCTGTAATCAGGTATCTGATAGACTGTGTGCTGAACAGTGTCAGTATTACATTATTTATAGTGTTTGTGTGTTTATTTAATCCAGATTAAATATTTAATATCTACTGAGGAATGTTAGTTCACTGTTTATATTGGCCAAATGAAAATAAAAAGTTCTGATTTCATTCAGCCGACTGTGTCATACAGTGTTATTCAGAGAAATGAATTCAATATTAAAATCAGCTGTGAGTCTGTGGGTCTGTGAGTCTCTGTCTCAGGAACAGAAACATTACCAGCAATAACACCAACATTCAGCTCAGCTCAGCTCAGCTCAGCTCAGCTCCGCGAAAATCGAAGTGAGTTTCCAAAACTAGAGTTTAAAAACTGATTGAAAGCTCCAGAGAAAATAGGGCTCCCAACAACCACCTGGTCGACCCCAAACCATCACCCATCAGATAAACAGCACTTAAAGCTTTCATCTCTGAGAGAGAGGAGAAAATCAAGCTGCTTCAGATCTGAAAACATCCACAGGTGTTTCTGTCCATCCTTCCACCCTAAAGAACAACTCAACACTATTAAAAGATGCTGCTGTAGGACACAAAGGGAAACTGCTAATAATACAAAGTGATAAATTCATTAATTATACAACAGTGTTGGTCAGAGAATGATGTGAAGAGAAGAGACCGCAGTGATGGGCAGAGAAGAGTGTGGAGAAGGAAGGAGCCATTCATGATCCAGATCATTCCACCTCGTCTGTCCAGCATGGTGGAGGTAGTGTTTTGGGCATGTATGGCTGTGAATGGAGCTGGTTCTCCTGGATTTACTGATGATGGGAACAGCTGCAGGGTGGACTCTGCAGTGGGCTGTACAGTCTGCTCAGATTTAGCCACATCTGTGCTGAAGACCTGGTTTCAAATCTCCAAAACTCATTGGACGATGCTTCACAGTTCAGACAGACAATGACCCAAACATATCACACTTTTTTTAGGCAAAAAATGTAAATTTTCTGCAATGGCCAAGTCAGTCACCTGACCTCAGTCCAGTCGAGTGAAGGTTCACTCACTGAAGGCAAAACTGAAGGTAAAACAGCTGAAGAACAAACAGACACTGCAGACAGCAGTGAAGCCTGGCAGAGCACCACCAGGGAAGAACCCCAGCGTCTGCTGTGGGTTCCACACTTCAGGCAGTCGATCAACGCGTAATCAGATAATCGGGAAACTCCGGGTCTACATGAGTCAATAAACTCACAGAAGAAGACGCGACGTAAACGTAATGTAAAACTTCGTGAGCGGCTTTTTATTAAAACATCAAGTCACTTTATCCGAAAATATGAACCTAAAAGATGAAGAATATTTAAACCCTTCATTTCATTAATCTTGTGTTTGGTTTCAGCATCGCTCCAAAAGTGCTGTGTTGGTCTCGCGGGTTCTGTGTTGAACACTGTGTTAAACGCTGCTCGCAGTTCCCGGGACGGCGCTCTGTTTTCACACATACTCAGACTGAGAGAAACGAAAGAAATCAGAGTGAGAGTTTACACTGAAAAACCTGGTAGTTGTCACAAAGCAGCTTTACACAAAGATCCGTGTCTGAGTCCGTATGAACGTGACCGATGGCAACAGTGGCAAGAAAAACTCCCTAAGAGCAAAAGAAGAAACCTTGAGAGGAACCAAGACTCAAATGGGGAACCCATCCTCCTCTGGTCGACACTGGATAGCAAACAGTAACAAAAGAGCAAAATGGACAGAGAATAATGTTTTATCATTAGTATGAAATATTGAAATACAGAAAAGGAGAAAAGCAGTGAAGCGATGGCTCTGATTAGGTAAATAGGTCAGTTTGTCCAGTCACTTCATAAAATCACAGCCCAAAAATGAGGCGTGGGGGTTCTGTGTGAAAACAGTTGTAATTTCTAGACAGTTCGCTCAGTTCGGAGGTAAATACCCTCAGGTTAAAGATGAAAGTCTGCACTTTGGGCTAATATTCATTATTATATTTTATGTATATTGGTAATATTGTAGTGAACCGCTACTGGCTGGCGCTGGCCTGAAGAAGCTCGTGAGAAGATCATGGGAGGCGTGCACCCGCAGGAAAAGGGGCTTATTGTTGTTGTTATTGTTGTTGTTTATTAGTCTAAAGTGTGTCTATGTGTTGTATGTGTGTTTATCGCTGCTGCAGCTGACATTTCTATTCTGAATACTGTTTTCTTTTTCGTGTTTAATCAGTCGTACAGCGCTGGTCAACGTTTCGGTCAGTATCTGTTGTTTATGCAGACAGACTCGCTCATGCGTCCGAGCCACCTTCTGAAGTCAGATCTGCTCTGAGAGCCTGCAGGGCAGATGGGCTTTGTCAGGGTGCCACCTTTGATCCTCTTGTGCCCACAGTGGGATTTCAGGCGCTGGCATCTGGCCTGGCACTGCCCGCTGCTCCGGCTGCTCATTGATGCCCAGCGTTGGCGCGACGTGTGAACGTACTCGAGCGTGGCAGCACATGGCCGATGCCAGCACACTGACAGAGATATTCTGGTAAATTGGTGATGTTACGGGACGTTTCCGTGTCAGGAAAGTTGGAAAGGTGATTATGCTAATCTCACCACGCGTTTCACGCTTTAATGGATTTTTAGTCATTCTGAGACTGTTTTCCAGGGTGTCGCTGAGGTTTACAGCAGAACTCGGAGGCTGGAAGAGAAGCTTCACTTTGAAAGCGAGTTGTGAAAAGGGCCAGACGCTGCGCTATTTAGGCTGAGGAAGCTGTCAGAGTTAGAGCGCTTTTAATAAAGTACTTTTAGCAGCTCAGATTAGAACTCTCAGCCTGCGGTACGTCACAGAGTGAGCCTGGACATTAAAGTGATACCTTAAAGCTGCACTGTATGATATTTTCTGTTAAAACTGAAACAAGTGTCGTTACTGAGTGAGGAGAATATAAACACTAAAACATGCTGAGTGTGTTCTGCTGTGAGTCGCCTGTAAAGCCTGAAATCATCATTTAAAAGTCAGAGGCGACGAGTTTTTCACTCCACGTCGTACGTCTTTACGTATTAACATCACACACAGACTCTAAAAGAAGGTCCGGCTCGATGTTTCGGCCTCAAATGATCTCAGAATCAACATCATACTGATGAAGATGTGATGACTGTAGTAGATAATTCACTCACATCCTCAGAGACGCTCCTTCACCCAGTTTACACTTAGTTCTCTCTGAATTCTCTATAAAGGCCTCAAAAACTCAGATTCATCCGCTTGTGGAGGTCGACGTTACCAAATGTTCTTTCACCAGAGGGGGCTCCAAATCCCCACGCTTTAATAATATCAATAATATCAAATCTTTGACTGAATGTAGACGTGTTCGCTGTCTGAAGTTTGTATCTTCAGTTTTAGCGCTGAAGTGCTAACAAGTAATAGACACTTATATTCCACAAATTAGCACTGCACAGCTAGCACAGCTGTATTTCTATAAAATGTAGAAACTTACAGACAAATTTCCACGGACAGATAAATAAACATCACCTGACAGTCGACTTTTCCGTTCCACCTTAAAAAGTGCAGCTGTTACATTCTGGCGCCCGATAACATGGTTCTCTTTGAGTCTCTGAGCTGACAGACCAGTTCTCTTTGTCTGCGTTCACACAGCAGGTAAAAGTGGCCCAAATCCGATCTTTTTCCTCAAATGTGACACAGATGTGTGTCTGTGTGTCAGTGTGAACAGATAAACACACTGAATCTGACATTTTCAATTCCGATCTGAGACGCTTTCATATGTGGTACTGAAATCCGATACGTATCCGATCTGCGGCAGTGCGGCTCAGTCTGAACAGCCAATCGATTCATGCATATTTTACGCGATCTGAGACTCGATCCCAAACATTTAGTCTGATGTTTCTGTACCAAAACATTAGAAGAGACTCAAACCGCTCCGTGATTGAAATGAGGAGCCCGAGGCTGCAGCGTCAGAGAACAGTTTAAAGAATCCGAGGACTCGAACCAAAGAAGCGGCCGAATAACGAGCCCTTTTACAGCGAAGTCGAAAGCACACTGTGGGTGATGAGTCCAGCTGTCAACCGCTGGAACTTCATAATCGCTCCTGTGATGCTGGTGAAGACGAAACTGAAGCTCCGTGAGCGACTGGCGTTCACTGGCCGTCATGAGTGTTTACCCTTGGATGAGGCGCCATGTGAAGCGCTGTTCTTTTGCGCATGCGGGTCGGTTTAGGAGCTGATCTGTTCAGACTGATGTCGCAAACAGGTCACATTTAAAAGATAATCTGAACAGACAAACAAAAAAATCGGATTTGGGCCACTTTTACCTGCTGTGTAAACGCAGCCTTTGTGTCTCTGTGCTGATAAAATGGTTCTCTCTGTGGCTCTGTGTTGATAACTCGGTTCTCTCAGTCTCTGTGCTGTTAACCCAGCTCTCTCTGCGTCTCTGTATTAACATGGTTCTGTCTGCGTCTCTGTATTAACACGGTTCTCTCTGTGTCTCTGTATTAACACGGTTCTCTCTGCGTCTCTGTATTAACACGGTTCTCTCTGCGTCTCTGTATTAACACGGTTCTCTCTGTGTCTCTGTATTAACACGGTTCTCTCTGTGTCTCTGCGCAGGAAAGTCCTATACCATGATCGGAAAAGACGACTCCATGCAGAACCTGGGGATCATCCCGTGCGCCATCTCCTGGCTCTTCAAGATCATTAACGAGCGGAAGGAGAAGACTGGGGCACGGTTCTCCGTCCGCGTCTCAGCTGTGGAGGTGTGGGGTAAAGACGAGAACCTGAAGGACTTGCTGTCTGAGGTGGCCACGGGCAGCCTGCAGGACGGCCAGTCACCTGGTGTCTATCTCTGTGAGGACCCCATCTGTGGCATGCAGGTAGGGCACTTATACAGGACACACACCTGTCCACTAGTAGTATCGGCACAGATACATGCAGACAAAGCAAACTGTGCTGATGTTATCCAGTTTAGCTGAGTGTTTCAGTCAAAACGTAACTCAGCAGACCCTCGATCACATCCTCTTCACCTGAACTCGTCCACTTTGTTTTCACGGCAGCGGACATAAAGGAACGGCCAGTCTTTTGGGGTTAGCATTAGTTCAGCATGGACACCAGAGCGCATTAGTTTCTGAAATTCACTCTAAACACCAAAATATAATTTTAGAATGCATTTATTTTAAAATGTTTGGAGAAATATTACACATAGAAATGTCCTGTACAAAAATAACTGTATGTAAATATGTTTATCAAATCCATTTGAAAATGTATGAAAATATCCAGAATCCTGTCTGATGCTCTTCACTGTCTGATACCTTTAGAAATGAATTTGTGTTCCAGTATCTTCATTTAAATCTGATCAAATGATCCTTTAACAGGACAGAAGCGAGTGTTGTAGTACTGATACTGATTATGACTCAGAGGTGCAGTGACAGGCCTACTGACCGATACACCAGCACTACTGGCTGTTCAGCAGCCTGATGGCCTGGGGGAAGAAACTCTCGGAACCAGCTGGTTCTGGACTTTTATGCTTCTGTATCTCCTCCCTGCTCAGCAGCTGTGAGAACAGACAGTGGTTTGGGTGGGTGGAGTCCTTCAGAATCCTCCTGGTCTTCCTCAGGCAGCGGCTGGTGTGCAAATCCAGGAGGTTTGGGAGCTGGACCCCGGTGATGTGCTGGACTGTCCACACCACCCTCTGCAGAGCTTTCTGCTCAATGGCAGTGCAGTTCCCATACCAGGAGGTGATGGAGCTGTTAGAACGCTCTCCACAGTACATGAGTAGAATGTTCTGAGGATGCGGGGGTTCATGCCAAACCTCTTCAGCTGCCTGAGGAAGAAGAGGCGCTGTTGTGCCTTCCTCACCACCCGTGTGGTGTGTTCGCTCCATGTCAGCTCCTCTGAGATGTGAGCACCGAGGAACTTGAAGCTGCTGACCCTCTACAGTGGCTCTGTTGATGGTGATGGGGGGGTGCACTTTCTCTTGTTTCCTGTCCACTGAGCTTGAGACATTGAGAGAGAGGTTGTTCTCCTGGTTAGTATTAATACTAATAAATGCATTTAAAAATATATGTAATTAAATAAGTGTTTTGGCCATTTTCATAGATTTTCGTGCAAAAGCTCATTTGATAAATACATTTGGAATTATTTATTGGAAAATTATTTTCCCATATGGAAAAGGGGTGTGCAAACTTTTGCATGTGACTGTAGCTAACAAGTAGTGGAATCCGATATCCCCACCAATTAGCATTGTGCTAACGGCATGCCTGCTAACTGTGTCAGAGTGAAGGGGAACAGTGTAAAACTACTGCTTTAATCGCAGCGCCTGGAGCAGAGTGTGTGTGTGTGTGTGTGTGTGTGTGTGTGTGTGTGTATGTGTGTGTGTGTGTGTGTGTGTGTGTGTGTGTGTGTGTTGTGAATGTGTCGTGTTCATAGCCGTGAATGAGCCGACAGACGTGGCGGAGCTGACAGTTTTATGTGTTAAATCAACGCTTTCTGAAAGATAACAAAAAGCCGGAGCTCTCTGGAGGAACGCTGCCGGCGGTCTCTGACTCTGAGACTTGGTGGTCTGCGCTGGTTTGAGAGCAGTAGGTTTAATATACTCGTCACACTGTTTTGCCTGTAAGGACATTTTCTCGCGCTCGTTTAGGGATTATCTCCGCTAATTCTGCAATCAACTCCCAATAAAGCTGTCATTGTCGAGCAAAATGCCTTCACGTGCTGAATGGATTAGTTAGCGGAGACAACCCTATCTGTGTAATCCCCCAGAAATCAGCTGTAATCTGCTCTCGGAAAAACACTTCATCCACACGCAGCTCCATGTTCCTCACCGAGCTCCTGATCAGGACGAGATGGCGGCGCGAGGGACACCTGAGGCTGCATCTCCATTCAGAGCTTTCCCAGAACTCTAAGAACGTCCGAATTCCTGGAATTGTTTCCATAGCTAGCTAACATAGCTAGTGGGCTGATTAGTGAGGCTGATCTATCGTTTACCTCCATCCTCTATACTTTCTTAACATTTTACAGCTTCCTACCAAATATTTGAAACATATGAAACCCCAGCTAGAACTGTTTTGTTCTAAAATGTTCTGGGAATGTTATTACCGTTTCAGAACGTGTAGGTAACGTTAGCCAAAGTTGTGGGAATGTTATCTGCTACCACATATGGACTTCTGAGATTTTGTGTCATTTGACTTCGTATTTCCGAGGATCCAGCGACATTCAGAGGAAAAATCTTTGTTGGGTTTGGAACATTTTTGGGATTTGACTGAGCATCGATTTTTGAAAGCACTTCGCTTTTCCCATAACAATAAACAGCTTAGACACAGATTTCCTTATATGGGCATGACGCAGACTACAGAGTGACATATGACCTCAGTGGTCTTTATCCCTAATATTGTGATGTTTCTGTAGCTGGCTTACTTAGATAACTGACTGATTAGCAATGCTGATGTATCATTAGCTACCATTCTCTATAACTTCTGAACTTTACAGCTTCCTGCCTTTTATTTGAAACATATAAGAGCCCAGCTAGAATTTTTTTGAGAATATGTTAAGAATATTATATTTTTTCTAAATATAATTACTTTATTAGAACGAATAGGTAATGCTAGCCAAAGTTGCGGGAACATTGTGGGTGTGGATCCAGTGACATTCAGAAGATAAATATTTGTCAGACAGAACATTTTGGGTTTGAAACATTCTTGAGATTTGGTCGAGCGGCGATTTCTGAAAGCACTTTTCACTTTTCCCATAAAATGAACTGCTTAGATGCAGAATTCCTTATACGCCGACTGCAGACTGATGTGCGTCTGGAGTGTCTTTATCCCTGTTATTGTAGTGTTTCTGTAGCTAGCTTATATAGCTAACTGGCTGAATAGCGATGTTGATCTATCGTTAACTTCTGTTCTTTCTAATTTCTCAACTTTTTACAGCTTTAATTATTTAAATCACATGAGGTTGTAAACAGTGATTTTTATAGTCAGTGACATTCCCAGACATGGAACCCAGACTACAGACCAAAGCTGGTTTTGCCTAAAACTTGAATGCTGTTTTTGAACACTGTCACCATCACACCATTTGGTAAACACTGCAGAGTCACTGAACCCTCCAAATTACAAGGTCGTTTCACAGTCAAAGTACAGTTACAGTACAATGCTAATAGTGAGCTAACACTGCTGTGCTGAAATGACGTCATATAAAAGTAGGTCTACTCGAGCTACTCAACACCAGCTCCTCAAACTACAGACTGAACCAGACAAACGCCTCTAAACTACCACACTGGACAGAGCCTGCCGGTCTGTTTGAGGTAACTGGTGAGGCCAGTCTTATGGTGTCAGTGCAGTGTGTTAGCAGTGTTACCTCACATTGTAACAACATTCAGAATTTGACTCCTTAACTACCTTCTAGTCCAGATTATCCAGTGGTCCTCGGTGGTCTATATCCCTGCGAGTGCAGCGTGGTAGTTAGTTAGAAGTGATGGTCTACCAGTGGCGTCTATTCTCTAAAATGAAAAGTCACATCATATTAATATCAATTTATTATGTTATCTGCAACAGTGTTGATTTTATTTGACCAAAAACAGCGATTCTGAACTTTTGGTAGTATAAATATGAGTTTAAAAAACTGATTCCAGTCCTTCAGTCTGACTGACTGAGCTGCATTTGAAGCTGTTTTAAAATAGAGAATATTCGTATACCTGTGACCACCTTACAGCAACTGAACTCCGTATCACTGCACCACTTCACAGAAAGTCCTTCTGCTGTTAATGAGTCATCTCTGACTCTAATGCTGCTCACATGGAGCACCGAGTGTACTGATGAAGTTAGAACCCAGTTTTGGTTAAACTGAGGGGCTGACAGCTTATGTTCTTATCTAGAACCAGGCTGGTCAACTAGCTAACAGGCTAAAAGATAGCTAAACATGCTGAATAGCTCCATCATTAATATCACAGGCTTGAATTAAAGTACCTACAGTATGATTCACTGTAAAACTGCAGTATAAAAGTCTAAAAATGTCACTATAATGTCTCTCACACTTCAAACGTCCATGTTTCAGTCAGAAATCGCGTCAAAGCCAGACTGAGTTTCTAACAGCTCTGTATTCCCTAAACAGTGCGCTAGGGAAGTGCAGAGATTCTAGCCTCTACAGCCAAACAGTCTGAGTCCCAGATGACTGTTTCTTAGCTGTATTATTCTCTGTTGGGCTGCAGGAGTCAGTTTTTATGTTCCTCCGTAGTGCACCCGTAGGAGCAGGGGGCCATTTGAGCCCCTGTGTGAGAAGAGGGCGCCACTGGATTGGTGCTAAATAAGACTCACGATGGTAATTTGGTCACCAAAAAGTGCTTATAAAGTGAAAGTTTCTGCATATGTTCATTATAATACAACAGAAAGTTAAAAAGTTCATGAAATGACAGGCGACCAAACGTTCTTCTCCTCATTTAGTCCATGGTTGCTTGGTAACGATACCACACTCTAAAGGAGCTACATTTCTTGATGGAATACTTTTATGTTGACTATTATTAATAATAACTAATAATTATTCACAGAACGTGTGTGTATTTTATCGTATTTTATGTTGGCCACCATTTTATAAAAGCTTTTATAAAAGCCCTAAGCCACTCGAGGCGCACATTACAGTGATTTTATCACGCAGAAGGGGTTTTACTCCACTTTGCCTAAAAACACCCTTCACTGCAATAAAATCACAGTGACCCACGGCTCTCATGGCTTGCTTTAGGATATTATTGCTGTCAGATCAACTACATCATTATGTCATTACTGTCAGTTACATCATAGAAACATGGATACAATGTTTTTCCTGTTTCCTGAAAAACTATTTTATTGGAGATCTGAGGTTTCGTTCTGACAGTAATGTTATATTTATATTTATATTTATATTTATATTTATCAGTCTGTTATGAAGAGTTACTGACGTGTCTGCTGTTCTGGTTCAGCTGCAGAATCAGAGTGAGCTGAGAGCTCCGACAGCAGAGAAAGCTGCTTTCTTCCTGGACGCAGCCATCGCCTCCCGCTACAGCAGCCGGCCGGACTACGACGAGGAGGAACACCGGAACTCGCACATGCTCTTCACCCTCCACATTTACCAGTACCGCATGGAGAAAACCGGCAAAGGAGGCAGTGAGTACAGCCGCACTCTATACACACATCTACTGACCACACCAGAGACTACACACAACTACTGACCACACCAGAGACCACACACATCTACTGACCACACCAGAGACCACACACATCTACTGACCACACCAGAGACTACACACATCTACTGACCACTCCAGAGACTACACACATCTACTGACCACACCAGAGACTACGCACAACTACTGACCACACCAGAGGCTACTCACATCTACTGACCACACCAGAGACTACACACATCTACTGACCACTCCTAACACGGTCAGTTCCGTGTTAGGCCTCTTCAGTTTTAGCACTGGAGCTAATGTAGGTAACAAGGTAATGGAAGCTGATACCCCACCAGTTAGCAAGGCTGTGAGAGATCACTGGATTAGGTGTGTGCAGTGATGTAGACCTGCAGTTAGCACTCTGCTAATTGGTGGAGTATAAGCAGTAGTTAAATTTAGAGATGGTGGAATCAAATTATCGTTTAGGTTGTTTATCGTTTAATTTCTATTCTTTATAATATAATGTCATTACAATGTTTTCCTAATATCTTCTTTATTTATTTACTTTTGTATTTTTCTTTAATGCACATTTTTGATTGATTTGTTATACGGTTGTGTGCAGAAGTTTGTGCACCCCAGTCAAATTCCATGTTGTTGTTGATTTTCTGAGTGTGAAGAAGTTACACATCCTCCACAGAGACACACTGCTGCATATTTAATACACCGTTACTGTTTATTTACACTTAGTATCACTCAGAAAATCACACAACATAGACTTTGACCAGTGTTCAAAATCTTCTATACAGCCATAATGACTGTATATATTATATAATCATATTTAGACTTATACCTCCAACGCATTTGGAGTGTAAATCGCAAACATCTGTAATGGATTTATGATAAATAACATAATTATCTCACAGATTTGTGTTTTTTTTGGTATGAGGGATGTCACCCCCCCCCCAACTGAGCCATAGGTCTAAGCATTGTGGACATTGTGGACATGTTAGCTACATTAGACTAAAGAAGCAGACCTCAGACACCAAACACATCATGGCTGATTATATTTGGAGTAAGGGGTGGGGGTGGGGGGTGAGAGTGGGGGCAGCTGATTTTTGGATAAACTATCTCTTTAATATAAAGTTTTGTGTTTATTTTGTGTTCATTGATAAATGTTCTACTTAATTGTAAGACCTGACCAGCAGGCGGAATTAGCTTCTTAATTCACTCCCTTGTTGCTTCATAAAGCCGACTAACGTCACTGAAATCACATGATCTTTTGTGTTTGTTATCCAGTGTTCGTCTGTTTTTGTCCTCTGTTGTTGCAGAGCTGAGAACAGCAGCTCGTATCTGTGTAAATCTCTCAGGACTGAACAGGATGTGCACTCTGTTCAGCGCCATTAGTCTGAACCTCTAATAGTCTAATAATTAGCATCGTTATGGGCAGCTCGTTAAAGGCGTCCATTAAGCCCCGCCCTGCCTGTGCTCAACACGCCCACCCTCCCAAATTCAATATCACACTCTTCCTCCGCCCCACCGTCCCAAACGCTGCAGTATAAACAGAGCTCGATCTCATAGAGGCCCTGTCGCTGAAGGTGCTAGCGTTAGCGTTAGCGGGCTGCGCGTGCCTGTGAAGATGTCGAGCTATTTCAGGAGAGCAGTGCTAATTTCTCTTAGCGCAGGAAAGTGTGCGTCAGCCACAGCTGCCTCTGAGGCAGGTGAAGCAGATCCAGATGTTTCAGTGTTGGCTTTAGCGGAGTGCAGATTGGACTGGAGTCCAGACTGAGCAGAAGGAGGTCAGAGTGAGGAGGAGCGCAGAGCTGATCCAGCTTTCAGCATGTTGATGAATGATCGCTGTGTTAGAGCTGCTCCTCAGAAACTGTATCTGCGTCACGATGATTCTCCCTCGTTTCCTGTGATTAAACTGTTTGTGAGTTTGTTGAATGTGATTATGCTGTTCCTTCATTCTGAACACGAGTTATTCCAAAAAAAGGACTCTTAAAGCTGCAGCTGCTGGACACAGTGACGCCACTCAGCATCTCACTGTCGCTGCACTGTATTAAACACAGAACACTAAACCACAGTAGGTGTCTTTAAATTTATGCCAGTGTTTAAGATAAACAGATAAATCATCTGTTAGCTCATCTGTTAGCTAATGTTACCAGCCTAGCTACACTGTATCTCAGCCCAGCTACACTGTATTTCAGCCAGCTACACTATATTTCAGCCCAGTTACACTGTATCTCAGCCAGCTACACTATATTTCAGCCCAGTTACACTGTATTTCAGCAGCTACACTGTATTTCAGCAGCTATACTGTATTTCAGCCCAGTTACACTGTATTTCAGCAGCTACACTATATTTCAGCCCAGTTACACTGTATTTCAGCAGCTACACTATATTTCAGCCCAGTTACACTGTATTTCAGCAGCTACACTGTATTTCAGCAGCTATACTGTATTTCAGCCCAGTTACACTGTATTTCAGCAGCTACACTGTATTTCAGCAGCTACACTGTATTTCAGCCCAGTTACACTGTATTTCAGCAGCTACACTGTATCTCAGCCCAGCTACACTGTATTTCAGCCCAGTTACACTGTATTTCAGCAGCTACACTGTATTTCAGCAGCTACACTGTATCTCAGCCCAGCTACACTGTATTTCAGCAGCTACACTGTATTTTAGCAGCTACACTGTATCTCAGCCCAGCTACACTGTATTTCAGCAGCTACACTGTATCTCAGCCCAGCTACACTGTATTTCAGCCCAGCTACACTGTATTTCAGCAGCTACACTGTATCTCAGCCCAGCTACACTGTATTTCAGCAGCTACACTGTATTTCATCATAGGTTGATTTAGGTGGTGTGCTGTGTGGTAGTATTTAGACAGTGTGCAGTAGTTCTTAGACAGCTGCAGAAGTCTTTAGATGGTGTGTAGTAGTCTAGATGGTGTGCAGTAGTCTTTAGACAGTGTGCAGTAGTCTTTAGATGGTGTGCAGTAGTCTTTAGACAGTGTGCAGTAGTCTTTAGATGGTGTGTGGTACTCTTTAGATGGTGTGCAGTAGTCTTTAGATGGTGTGTGGTACTCTTTAGATGGTGTGCAGTAGTCTTTAGATGGTGTGTGGTACTCTTTAGATGGTGTGCAGTAGTCTTTAGATGGTGTGCAGTAGTCTTTAGATGGTGTGCATTATACTTTAGATGGTGTGCGGTAGTCTTTAGATGGTGTGTAGTAGTCTTTAGACAGTGTGCAGTAGTCTTTAGATGGTGTGCAGTAGTCTTTAGATGGTGTGCATTAGACTTTAGATGGTGTGCGGTAGTCTTTAGATGGTGTGTAGTAGTCTTTAGATGGTGTGCAGTAGTCTTTAGATGGTGTGCATTAGTCTTTAGATGGTGTGCAGTAGTCTTTAGATGGTGTGCATTAGTCTTTAGATGGTGTGTAGTAGTCTTTAGACGATGTGCAGTAGTCTTTTGATGGTATGTGTTATCCTTTAGACAGTGTGCAGTAGTCTTTAGACGGTGTGTGGTAGCATTTAGACGGTGTGCAGTAGTCTTTGGACAGCTGCAGTAGTCTTTAGATGGTGAGTGGTAGTCTTTAGATGGTGTGCAGTAGTCTTTGGACAGCTGCAGTAGTCTTTAGATGGTGTGCAGTAGTCTTTGGACAGCTGCAGTAGTCTCTAGATGGTGAGTGGTAGCATTTAGACGGTGTGCAGTAGTCTTTGGACAGCTGCAGTAGTCTTTAGATGGTGAGTGGTAGCATTTAGACGGTGTGCAGTAGTCTTTGGACAGCTGCAGTAGTCTTTAGATGGTGTGCAGTAGTCTTTGGACAGCTGCAGTAGTCTTTAGATGGTGTGCAGTAGTCTTTGGACAGCTGCAGTGGTCTTTAGATGGTGAGTGATAGTCTTTAGACGGTGTGCAGTAGAGGTTAGTTAATAAAAAAAAAAATCACTATTGTTGTCATGTCTTTTCATGTGCCTAACACATTACTGACTGTCTCTCTCTCTCTCTCTCTCTCTCTCTCTCTCCCTCAGTGTCTGGCGGTCGGAGTCGTCTGCACCTCATTGATCTGGGTAGCTGTGTGAAGGTTCTCAGTAAAACCCGGGACAGCACGGCCGGACTCTGCCTGTCCCTCTCTGCACTGGGGAACGTTATTCTGGCTCTGGTCAATGGCAGCAAACACATCCCTTACAAGTAGGTCATTCTTACTCAGCGTGACGTAAATGCAGATTTACACAGATATTAAAATGCGCACTGGCCACTCGGACCACCAGTCCAGTGAACTGTGCAGCCAACATTAAGAATTTGTGGCCAGAATAATAGAAACATTTATTGTATATACATTGTATTCAAGATAAACAAAGAAATCGAAACAATAGGCACCATCAGCGCTCACCAGAGTAAAACAAAGCTTTTAAGAATTCAGATGGTTCTTTCGGTTCTCCTTTAGCTCCCACTTTCCATACCAACACTGAAGCTAACATACTCGCTTAGCCCAGTATACGGCTGGGTCCTCAGCCCAGATCTGGCCCACACACTGTGAAGTAAGTAGGACTAATACAAGTGGCCCAAATCTGGTCTGCAACCAACATTCACGCCAGAATTGCTCCACAGTATAGACACTAAGCAATACTGAATAAACCCTGAGAGCAAGAGGACAGTGGACGACTGCTGACCCACTTGTTGGTGTAATTTAGCTTCCATTTTCCGTTCTAATACTGAAGCTAACTTATCCGACTAGTTACAGTGATGCTCTTTTGCTTTCCCTTTACATACCAATACTGAAGCTAACTGAGCTAATTGTCTGAATAATTATGTTGATGTTCCACCTTTCATGCCAGTACTAACACAGCTAACACAGCTTTGCTGATGTACTTTAGCTTCCCTGTCTACACCAATACTGAAGCTCCCAGAGGAAAGAAATCGTCCTTAAGATCGTCTCGGAGAAATAAAGCAGATCTCAGTATTATATTAACGATCACTGGTTTCTGAGCTGTTCCTCCTGAACCTCCTCAGGAGAAAAGAGGAGATTAATTCCAGCGTCTCACTGTGAGACGTTCTGGTGATGAAGGAGAAAAGCGTGAGTTCTCCTTCTGCACTGACGGACTGCTGAGAGGGTTCTGTGATCTAGAACGGAGCTGTATAAGAGAACGATTAGATCTCACACTGTTCATATGGAGATATTACTCAGCTGAGACGGGGCTGAGACGAGTCAGACTCTAAAGAGTTAATCCACATGTGGGACCACGTTTTGATCAAAGTGAGAAAATCTGAGTTTTATTTCTCAGGAGCCGAATTTCAGAATCAGGAGAAAACGGCTTCAGTCTCACTCTGATTTAAACTGGACTGAACTGTGTCCAGGAGAAGAACCTGAGATCAGGAGGAGATTCATTTAGAGTATTTCTTTCCTCTGGGCTAACGTAGCTAACTTAGCTATGTTAATGTAGCTTTGCTGACGTACTTTAGCGTCCACTATCCATTAAAACATAAAACAGCTCAGACTTGGAGTTCCTTATATGTGCATGATGCCGACGCGTAACAACACAAAAGATCTGCACACTGGAGGCTCCACACAGCACAGTGAGCAGGAATGCACTGCTTTCAGATAATTAGCCTCATTACTGATTATAAACCTGCAGGCGGGAGCTGTAGGTGACTCCATCAGCCCTCTATAGATGTACGTCCATTCCATCTGACATTCAGAGCTTTTGATTTGAGCAGTTATTAGCGGTCAGTAAAGCTCTCGGTTCTCCAGGGTGAGAGCGAGCTGAACACGGCTGCTCTCTGAAGACACACAGACAGATGCTTTTTCATATTCATGCCTTTTTCTGCTCCATCTCCTCAGCAAAGCCGTCACACAGGTGCCGTCGCCTTGTTTTCCACGGCGGGCTGTTAATTCGGGTTAAATACGGCGCTGAGAGAGACGCTTCAGCGAGCTTTCTGCTTTTTCACTCCAAAAATGTGCAGAGTTTCTGTTTTGCTCCTGGAGGGCGAGCAGGAGTTTTTTATGCTATAATTTAATCACACCGAATTTACATTGCAAAGCACCGCGTGAGTTTAAGCGCTGAATCCGCGGCTACGCAGAGAGGAGATGTAATTAGGGTTTGGGGCATTTTAGAGGCAGAGTAACGCCTGCTGGAGAGAAACTTAAATGAATATAAATGTTACATAAATGAATATAAATGCACCAAAAAGCCACTGATCTCAGAGTTCATTTAATTAAAGATAAACACTCACATCTGTAGTTCATCTTATAGCAGCCCTGTAATGAGATCTTTTAAACACTGTGATTTAATGTAAACACAGATTTGATCATATTTGGAAGTGATTATTTGCAGGAAGAAAAAAACAAATAATGTAATCTGTACTCAGTAATGTGATTTTGTTGATAAAGCAAGTGAGCAGCTTATCAGATTACAGAGAGTAAAATATTAATAGATCAAATTGCTATCAATAATTTTCCTCTTATCTAGCTTTAATAAAATAGCTATCAAGGTGAATTTGCAATATTCTTAGAGTTTTATAATATATTTAATAAAGATACTGTAATGTTCAGTAGTAATGTGTATTATGTTTATAATATGTATTATGTGGTATTATAAGTTATCTTCGAATTGTATAATACATTTACAATGTTATTATACATAATATTCAGTAATATAGTGTGATCTTATATAATCCTATATATATGCATGTATATATATATAATGTGTGTGATATTTAATAAAATAATTATCTGACTAATATAGTCTAATAATACAATAACATTTTCTGCAGGTATGTTTTTGTATTTGTTATTCTGATGGTATTGCAGACTTATATGATAAATAATTACATTAACAGTGTTTCTATGCTCAATATTGAATATTAGAGTGCAAAATAGAATATAAACGTCAATACATGGTTAATACAAATAAGAGAATTAGCTGTGCTCTTTGTGTTCTTTGGTAATTCTCATATATTCTAGTTGAACATATGAGCACATCACAGTTCTGATCACTGACTCACGCGCAGCTGAAAAACATCAGCAGCCTCAGATACCTGTTAATGGTTGCCATGGAAAGGCAAAGAGAACAGCCAGTGCCCGTTTCTCTCTCTCTCTTTTCTCTCTCGCCCTCATTCTTTCCTTCTTTCTTTCTTTCTCTCAGGCAGAAAAACAGTCTTTTATAAAACCGAGGACAGCAGCATGAGGTAGCCACAAACGGGCGGTGCGCCTAGGGGCCGCAAACAGTTTTTGGGAATTATAATCGCTAAGAGCTGCGCTAGAAGAGCTGATTAATATGCTAAAGCAGTATGGGTAAAGGTAATGTACAGCAGAAGCTTCTCTGAGGGACCACAGACTTTAAGGTTCACTGAAATTATCTGCAGTTTTATAAACGTAACTAACTAGCTACTCAGTGGACTGAACATTTCGGAAACAGGCTGTTTGTTTACATTTTTGTGGAGATCTTTAACAAATGATCTTGTTGTTCTTCACAGGGACAGTAAGCTGACCATGCTGCTGAGGGAGTCCCTGGGGAACATGAATTGCCGGACCACCATGATAGCCCACATATCCTCTTCACCCAGCAACTTCTCAGAGACACTGTCTACTCTTCAGATTGCTTCTCGAGTGCTCAGGATGAAGAAGAAGAAGGCTAAAGTAAGCGTGGTATGGCCCAGAACTTATCTGTATTTTTCACCCACACTCTTAAAAACAGTTTCCTTAACAGTTCTTGGTTTAGACATACATTTCTGGACAAAACCTGGAAAGGTTCTTCAGGGAACCAAAAGATTTCCATCAAGTATTACATAGTACATTGCCCGTGCTTTCCAAAGGGGTTCTCAGAAGTGTGGGGACACCTAGATATTCAAAATGTCTTCAGAAAATCAGCATGTTTGTCAGTTTGCAACACTAACCAGGTTTATTTTGAAGAATCTAAGATGTGCATGTAAATTACTAAAAATCAGTTAATTAAGTTTTAATGTACTACCTCATGTATTTCATGTCCTCATTGTGACATTAGCATGAAGATCTTTCAGGTGTTTGGGCCAAAATAACTTTAATATGTGCTTTTAATAATTGTTGGGAAAAAAAAATTGTGTAATCAATATTTATGCCAGACCTGCTCTTCATACCAAGGAAGACGTGAGGCTTGAGTGTGAAGATAAATAACCTTTGCAGAAGTTTTTCATAATTAAATGCAGACTAATAGTGAATAAATCAAGAGTTCCTTTTCAAAAGAAGGCAAGGTTTCGAAATTAGTGTATTTGTTATACACATTAATATGCATAGTTTGTTGGAAATCTGAAAAAAACTGTTTTTGGCGTTTTGCAGCAGTACACATCCAGTTCTTCTGGAGGGGAGAGCTCATGTGAAGAGGGGAGGATGAGACGCCCAACCCAACTTAGAACCATCCACTCCAGGAATGTTGTAGACTCCGAAATGCCGCTGTTGCACCTCTCCAGTGACCCTGATGACTATTCCAGCAGCGAGCAGTCCTGCGACACCGTGATCTATGTCGGTCCTAATGGTTCAGCACTTTCAGACAAGGAGCTAACAGACAATGAAGGTCCTCCAGAGTTTGTGCCAATTATCCCATCTATCCATAAGAATAAGGCTGACCAAAGCAATGCCGCATCAGCATCTCAGCAGCTGCAGGCAGTTTCAGCCCTAATCCAGTCCTCACAACCTCTCCAGCCTCTGCAAGCCCTTCATTCACAGTCACTTCCACCTGTGCCTGAAGAGGGCGCAGAGTCCGGCAAGCAGGAGAAGGACTGTCTCAAATGCAACACGTTTGCCGAGCTGCAAGAGAGACTGGAGTGCATCGATGGAAGTGAAGAGGTAAACAAGTTTCCTTTTGAAGAAGTCCCTACCAGCAGAGTTCCTAAAATTGAGCCTCTTCCAGCTCGAAGCCAAGAGGTTAAAGGAAGTTCTCCCAAGAGAATCTCTAATGACCAGCAACTTGAGGAGATCCGAGAGGTGGTAGAAGAAGCAGAAATCGCACAGTCTATTATAGAAAGCCTGACACAGTCTTCGATAAACAGTTGTGCACTCTCCACCAGCCGGAGCGTGACCGGTAGCAGTGGTGTTGGACAGCTCACTCCCCTTCAGAGAACCAAGAGCTCTAGTCTGCATGACAGCAGGGAGTCCATTAGTGGAGGTAGCAGCAGTGAAAGCAAACCTCGTCCTATGGGTTCTCCAAGGCTAGGCATCGCCAGCCTGACCAAAACATCTGAATACAAACCTCCCTCTTCTCCATCCCAGCGCTGCAAAGTGTACACTCAGAAAGGAGTAATGCCCGGCACGCCGCCCCATTCCTCGCAGAACCTGCACAGAGATTCAGGAAAATCATCCACTGAATCTTTGCTCCAGCCTGAGTCTAGGACATCTCCTGTGGGCATGAGCCCTCAGGTACTGAAGCGTTCCTCTTCGTCTAACAGTTTGGGATCAGCAGAGACACTATGTGATGATGTGCCTCAGCTGCCTTTGGACAGCAAGAAGAGCACCACAGTCACCTTGCAGCAGCCTTTGGAGCCAAATGGCAAAGATGAGTTAGTGTTCACTCTGGTGGAGGAGCTGACAGTCAGTGGAGTGATGGAAAACGGCAGGCCAACCAGTATCATTAGCTTTAACAGTGACTGCTCAGTACAAGCTTTAGCATCAGGTTCACGGCCGGTCAGCATCATCAGCAGTATTAGTGAGGACCTGGAGTGCTACACCAGTGCAGTCTCCACTACTACTGCCACCATCTCAGAAGCCAACATCGCTAAGTTCCTGCCTCTCAGCAGGGTCGAAGGGGAGGTGCTAGCCAGCCGACGGTCCTCCATCAGTTCCTGGCTTAGTGAGATGAGCACAGGCAGTGATGGAGAACAGTCTTGCCATAGCTTTGTTGCACAGCAGTGCTTTGGGCAAAATGAGGCATTAGCTGAGGCTCAACTTCTGGAAATTAAAGAGGAAGGGGAGACTGACGAGCTCACAGAGCAAAACATCCAAGAAAGTGAAACTGATCTCTCCAGTGATGTGAATGACAAGGGAACTCCAACCCGAGACAAAATGGGCAAGATGTCTCCTACGATGGTAAAAACAGCTGTCACCATTTCTAGTATTCAAACTTTATGTGCCTCGAGTGGCTTTATCCCTTTCAAGACTAATATCACAGTTCAGCCTTGTGTTGTCGTAAAGCCGATTGTTCAGGATCCACCCTGTGTATCTTCACCTACCAAAAACTCTTCTCTCAAAGATCCCAAATCCCCACCAGTTCCCATCTCGAGTGAGATCAACTTTGATGACCCCTGGATGAAAAGGGAAAGTGGTGAGGAGTCCAAACCTAAGGAACTTGTCTGTGAGGTAAAACCAGAGAAGAGAACATCTGATTCTGTGAAGAGCAAGTGTCTGGTTGACAGACACAGCTCAAGCAGTGGTGAAGCAGCATGCTCTCCTGATTCCTTCAAAAGGGTAGTGGATGGCTGTGAAATGGTTGTCAGTGCCTCAGAAAGCATCACTCCAGTGTATTGTGCAGACATCCTCAGGACTGGCAGCCTTCCTAGGGGATGGCATCGCATCAACAAGCAGGATGGCCTGGATGATCCTTCCTATCGCTTCACAAGTGGAGAATATAAAAGTCTTGGCGTTACTACGTCCACTCCCTGCAGTCCTCGAGCCACTCTGGAGAGGAGAGGCTCATGTGGAAGGCAGGGATTCTTCACCCGACAGAAGGGAATCCCACCCCTTCCACCTGTGAGGAAGTCGAGTCTTGACCAGAGAAACAGAGCCAGTCCACAGCATAATCCAGCAGGAAACCAGGCTACAATCCAGCACATGTCTTTCCTGGGCAGTACACCTGAAGACCTGGGTGGCAATGGAAAACAGAAAGGAGCAAATATGGAGAGTAGCAGACTCTTCAGTGCCAAACTTGAGCAGTTGGCAAACAGGACCAATTCCCTCGGGAGATCTCATGGAACTCATTATGACTGCCATTCCCTGGAGAGAGCTGAGAGCCTGACCTCTGTGGGCCTTAAAGCAGGTGTAGCAAGAGATAGTACCATGCCTAGAGCTGGCAGGAGCGTCACCCGCAGCTCCATCTCTTCTCCTACCAATGGACCAAATGGCAACAACAATGTAACCCAGTCACCCAAAGCCAGCCAATCCAAAATCTCAGCAGTTAGCAAACTCCTTATGGCCAGCCCCAAAGCCCGAAGCCTTTCAACGTCTAGCACTAAGACTTTAAGCTTCTCCACCAAGTCTCTCCCACAGTCAGTGAACAGGAGCTCCAGCCTGCCACCTAATGGAAAGAACCCAAACCAGAGTTCCTGGTCAACACAGTCCCTCAGCCGCAGCAGGGGATCAGGACTCGCCTCAAAGCTGCCTCTCAGGGCTGTAAATGGACGAATCTCAGAGCTGCTGCAGGGCAGTGGCAGCACCCGAGGCGGAAACAGCCGAGGTGCCTCAGACACCGAGGAAAGAGGAGGAACGCTCCATGGAGAGGACAGACCAGTGGTCCATACACTTCCCTCCCCATACAGCAAGATCACTGCCCCGCGACGGCCCCATCGCTGCAGCAGTGGCCATGCCAGCGACAACAGCAGTGTGCTTAGTGGAGAACTGCCACCAGCAATGGGCAAGACAGCCCTGTTCTACCACAGTGGGGGCAGCAGTGGCTATGAGAGCATGATACGTGACAGCGAGGCCACTGGAAGCACGTCCTCAGCTCAGGATTCTATGAGTGAAAACAGCAGCTCGGTCAGTGGACGTAGGAGTCTGAAAAATTCAAAGAAAAGAAACAATACTGGTAAGCAGGATCTTAAATCTTGATATATATTTGGTGGGATGGAGATGGAATGGTGCTAGCTAATGCTAATGGCATTAACTTTGGCTACATAGCTAGCTAACATTTCCTCAGCAAGGTCTTTACAAAGTGTCAATTTCAAAAACAGTAGTTGACACATCAACATGTCATGCTGAGTGAATTTATCCTCACTTGCAAGAGTAAAGAACTCATTAAACTGTGTTTTTGTAACTGACACTTTCTCAGTAGTGTTGACTTTAAATGTTAGCATACATTTTCAGCAATTTTGCAGCATTTTTGTTAGCAAAGCATAATATTTTAGCAAGTAGTCAGCAAAGATAGAGAATTTCCAACTGAAAAAACAAACGTCGCTCAGCGCCGCCCTCTAAAGGCGTCATTAACGACCATCAAATAAACAACCGTCGCTCGGCGCCGCCCTCTAAAGGCGTCATTAACGACCATCAAATAAACAAACGTCGCTCAGCGCCGCCCTCTAAAGGCGTCATTAACGACCATCAAATAAACAAACGTCGCTCAGCGCCGCCCTCTAAAAGTGTTATTGCACTTTTTGTTGTAGACATAAAACCCATATTACATCAATGAAAACATGCTGTATATCTTATTTATATTATTTATATAGATTTGAGGGTAAAGTGTCGCTGATCTGCTGGTTCAGATGCAACCTTTGTTGAACTCGCTTTAGTCACTGCACACATGTTGAAAAATGAACGTGAACAGTTTTATTTCCAGAGTTTGTGATGTATGAATGATTAGTGCTTTCTGGTATACATACCATTCCTTTGCAGTTTCATATTTCAGCGTGAATCGTCCTGCGCAAAATCACATCTTGTCACTCGCGTGTAAATATTAATGCTGGGAAAATCAAGCTAAAATAAAAGCCTCCAGCTCATCTTAACTCTCCACCCACACACTCACGCCTGAGTGCTCTGCTATGATAGCGATCTTGAAATAGACAGACTGCAGTTGACAGAGAAGGTTGTGGGTGGTCTCTGACTCTTTAGTGCTGCTCCTGCTTCTGAACACGTACCTCCCCCCACTCGTTTCCTCGGGCAGAGCGCTCTCCCCATTTCGCTCGGCTGCAGACCTCTGCCATGGGGACCGGCTCCTCCGACTGTGAATTTAAATCCTACCTCAGCGCTCGCTGAAACAACAGCCACATTCACTTTCCCCTCACGCTTCAGAACCAGGCCATTACATTACATGGCAGTGAACTGCGAAGAAAAGCAGAATTCTAATCATGTTGCGAACGCTTGAGCGGTCAGGGACGCCGGCCGAGAAGGTAGAGCCCACGGCCGCTGGAACATAGAGAAGAGCTTAGCATAACGAGTGAAATGTAAACGCTATCTGCGGCTATACCTTAAATCACCAGCCTCTTTCTCTTCATTGCCCTTCAAACACGCTGTACAGATGAACAACCTCATGGACGACCAGCGATGACTGGGAGTTTGACCTTTATGCCCCTTTCTCACACAAAGGGACAAGAAGGAACCATTAATATTACCCCAGTCGCTGTGTTTCCAGTCAGATGACTGATAGTGCTGCAGCTGGAACTGTCAATTTGTATGCAAATGTGGGCTGTGCTCTGGCAGGATCGGCTTCATTCCTGCACTCGGGCCAGATAAGCTGCTGCTGCTGACCTGCTGCTGCCTGGCTGGACCGTGCCGCCAGCATAAGCTCTCAGACTAGCTTGCAGCTAAGCACCATGGCACAGTTCCCCTGTTTGACTTTGGTTTATTTTTAACACAGCCCAGAAGTGCATCGTACACAGACTTGGGGCCAAATATAACCTTCCAAACTGACCTAAAATACAGTTATATTAGAGTTATCTATATGGAACAGACAGAGTTCTGTTAAACTGTCCGGTAAAATATGAATTCTGAACTAGCCCTTTTCTCTTTGATGCCGTTTTTTACCTTGATGTTTAAAGATTTTATAGTGCAAAAACAAACAAAACTTATTTGTAAAGTGGTCTTGAAATATTTTAAAACGGACAAAACAATAATGTATGTATGTATCATCGCTGTCAAAACAGAATGTAATGGAAATGAAATGAAATGTATGAATTTTTTACCCATGATTTGAACATTGTGTCAAAGCTTTATGATAAACAGACCAACAGAAAAAGTCTATAATCTAGCATAAGATCTTTTTCCATTATCTTCCATTAAACGTTAGGGATGCTTTTTTTCCTTCTAATGTGATGTAAACATTTTGAAGACACACAGTTTTGTTCCAGCAGAGATGATGTGCTGTTTGTTTGCTGTTTTTACTGAACTATTCTTTATGTTTGGTGTCTGAAGTTTACGTCTTCAGTTTTAGCACTAGAGCTACGAGGCTAACATAGCTAACAAGTACATTAGCTTGTTACCCCATCAATTAGCATGATTATCTGGAGTGCTAGAGTGGGATTGTCTAGATTACAGATTAGGAAAAACCCTTCTGATGATGTGTGAAGATGGGAGGACCTTCTGAAAAACCTCAGTTGCTCTGGTGTGGATTTTTCAGGCTTTTATTTTGAAATGTTTTGATTTTGTTAGCTGGTGAATGCAGACAGAGATGTTATGGGGTTTTTGACAGGTTTTATCAGTGGTTTAAATATGTTTCTGAACCGGTTTTGTAGCTTTTAGTCTCAGTTTTACAGGTCTGTCCTCATTCAGAGAGAGAGGAGTCGGGGCTTGTATGACTGGAAATAACAGCAATGCCAAGATGGCCGTCAAGTGCGGAGACTTTCTAATAAGGACTTTTGTTGCAGAAGGACAGCAGATCACTAACGTTACTGCTGTCAGAGCTGTGTGTGGTTTTACAGCCGTTTATCTGTAATAACTGTGTTCAGACGATCGTTACAGTGGAGAGAATTAATTACTCAAACCACAGAAACGACTCGTCAACACGCTAACAGCTAACGTTAGCCTGGCGCAGCGCTCTGCCCTCAGCTTGGCTCCTCTTCTCTGGCTGAAAGGGTTAAAACTCGTCTCTGGGCTTCATTTAGTGCTGAATAAAGACAGAATCTCTGATTTCTTCATACCTGAGTTTGGTAATCCAGGTAAACATGCTAGCCTGTGTTTTTAGCCTGTAGCTCAGTGGCTAGGCTAGTCAGGATTGGGTGACACAACAGGGATTCCTAACAGTTGTGTGATGTATTTGAGTGATGCATGCTGGGTATTGTAGTGAGAAAACACGAGTGAAAACATATATAATTGTGAATTCTGTTGAACTGATGTGGTTAAAGGGATATAAGAGGATTACATAACACAACAAACAACACTAAAGTCTAGTTTTAGGCCAGAATGCTCCTTTATGTCGTGTCTAATAGTCTTGATGATGCGGTTTCTGACTCTGCATGACTCACTGTTTCATATAAACACAGACTAAAGTACATTAGCGTAGCTAAAACCATAGCAGCCTGAGTTTTGTTCGTATTTTTGTCTGTTTTTATTGTGTAATTTGATTCCTTTAATTCTCGGGTCCTGATCTTTGGTGTTATTTCTCCTTTAGGGACTCAGAGACGCCGCGTGATTCCTAACCTGACCCTGGACACCACCTCCCCTGTGAGGAAGCCAATCATCAGCCCCGGAGTTCGCTGGGTGGACGGTCCACTGCGACCCAGCCAGAGAGGCCTGGCTGAACCCTTCGAGATCAAAGTTTATGAAATCGATGACGTTGAACGTCTTCAGAGGAGACGAGCTGCCAGCAATAAGGTACTGAAATTAGAACGAGTTCAACTGTGTAGTTTCAGCAGCAGTTTGAGTGTCTGATCTCAGGATGATCTCACTGGTTCCTGTTGTTTCCTCAGGAACTGGTGTATTTCAGCGCTAAGCTGAAGATTCTGGAGCATCGGCAGCAGAGAATCTCTGAGGTTCGGGCCAAATACGATTGGCTGAAGAAGGAACTGGAGCAGACCAAACAGCATCTGATGCTGGAGCCTGAAAAATGGACCACTGAATGTAAGTTATGCAGTTTGAATCTGAATGTAACTTAAAACGATAGTTTAGTGAAAAAATGAATGTAAACAATTTCACCCTTAGCACAAATACAGTCGATCACCCGAGATGATTTGGTGTCTGGAGTGTGGTTCTTTAGTTTTAGCTCTGGAGATATGAGGCTAATGTAGCTAACAGGTAATGGAAGCTTATAACCCAACAATTAGCATGGTGCTGACTGCACACCTAAATCATTAAACACTCAATACAAACCGTGTGGAGTTGTTAAGTAATCTCTAATAGACATTCTTCATTTGATTTCCAGTCAAAATGGCCATTTAGCACAAGGTACTGATGTTTCAGGAGATGTTTGTGAGAAGATTAGATATAAATAATCCACTTACATAAGCAAGGAGAAAGGGAAAAAACAGGAGTTTCCAAAAGTTCCAAAAATGATTAAAAGCTACATCTAACAACCACCTGGAAGAGCTGGTCGACCCCAAAACTGCCCCCATCAGATAAACAGCACTTAAAGCTTTCATCCCTGAGAGAGAGGAGAAAATCAAGCTGCTTCAGATCTGAAAACATCCACAGGTGTTTCTGTCCATCCTTCCACTGTGAGAGGACGACTCAGCGCTGTGGGTCTGAAAGGATGTGTAGCTGATCAAGTAGAACCTCACTGAGAAAAGAAGAACATCTGCACTAGAACATCAAAGTCAAATCCATGAGATGTGGACTGAGGTCTTATAGACTGATGAGTCTAAATTTGAGACCTTTGGAAGTGAAGACAGTATCTACACCACCGAAGAAACGAAGGACTCTTGGAACCATCAGTCAAGCACAGTGGAGGACCAGCTGAAGTTTGGGGACATACAGAGTTGGTTATTTGTTTTTGATTGAATGTTTCATGAATGCTGATGAGTACAGAACACAAACACATCATGAAAAAACCCTCTAGAAGTAATTCACTCTACAGCGAGATAACCACCCCAAGCACACTGCTGAGAACAAGACGTGTTTATCAAACAGAGCTGCTGGTGTTCTCAGAACAATGGACTGACCACCCCAGAGTCCAGACCTCAACATCACTGAATGTGTTTGATTACTTCAGAAAATCATCAACCAGCTTCTGAGACTGAACTTTGGAGCTGCAGATTCTTTGAGGAACTGAAAGTGAGTCTCCTGAACAGAATGGAAGCTGGAATAAAGGGCGAGTGACTCACTGACTCACTCAGCTGAGGGTAGATGTAGCTGCTGAGGATTCTGAGTCATCTGTTAAATGTTTTCTGATTTTTTTCTGACGCTGAAAAATGAACAACTTCTTGACTGGAAATTAAACAAATGAAGGGTGGTCTCTGACTTTTGCACAGTTTGTGAACTTTTGTTTTTATCTTTTAAAAGTGTGTAAATGAGCTGCTGTTAGATGTAGCGTCAGATCTCTGGTGTTTTTGTAATCTTAGGCTTGTTTATGGTTAGACTTTCTGAAATACAGACTACTGATGTATAAAATGTGAATTCATAAATGATTTATGTGTTTTATATAGGTTTGTTAGTTGTCACCGTGTCCTGAGTGTCAGTATCATATAATATCTAGTACGTGCAGTAAGACGTCCTTCCCTCTCCACAGTTGACCTTCAGCAGACGTTTGAGGTGGACTCTCTGGAGTATCTGGAAGCGCTGGAGTTTGTGACGGAGCGGCTGGAGAACCGGGTCAATTTCTGCAAAGCCCACCTGATGATGATCACCTGCTTCGACATCACCTGCCGGCGGCGGTAGAGCTGAAAGTTCTGGTTTCTGGATTAGCGAGGATCATGGGAAGTCAGAAGAAGCTTTAGGGTGTGCGTGGGTGTGAGCGCCACTGAGACGACGGCCGAAACGAATGAGAACTAAAAAATAAATAAATAAAAGACTTTGTATTTTTCTAAAGTGGATTTTTGGGTGATGGGAGGGTCATAAAGATGGACTGAGAAAAGCAATTTCCCCCAAAAACAACAAAAACAGGACTGGACAGCACTTTTATCACCGAGCGCTAGCAGTTAGCGGTTAGCAGTTGTAAATATGGTTTTGCTTGCTTGCTTTTGAACAAGGCCTGATGAGAGGCGTACACTGCCATGAGTGTGAAAAGAAAAACAAACAGAGAGAAAAAAGAAGAGTAAAAAGGACAACAAGTGCCTTGTGACCAATTCAGTATCTTAACGACTTCATGTATTCGTGTACAGATGGTGCTAGAATTAAATACACGTAGATTAAAAGAAGAAAAAACAGTAAAACGTGAAAAAACCTAATGAAAACGGCTCGTTGAATTCAGTGTTTTAGCTCTGTCTGGGTTATTTGTACTCGTATTGTTATACTCTCGGTAAACGCAACTTGTTACGTGTATGTTTTCTATTATTTTTTCTATTTTGAAGACAAAGAGGCCACACAGAGCGGAGCGCGCTCGATGAGCTGTCGCTGCGAGAGATCAGAGGAACGCAGCTCATTGATCTCCTGTGGTTGTGCTGATGTGTGCTGTAGTGTAGGGCCTTGGGCTGGACCATCAGAGGCAGCGGGGGGCTAAAACAAAGCCGGCCACAGGGACCACCTAAGCAATGGACCCGCGCTGTACCTATGCAGTTTGATTTCTACTGTTTCTGGCAACTTTGATGAACTTTTATCCTCAAAAAGCCGTGATCTAACACTCAAATTCACCAGAATAAGAGTCCTCCCTTCGCTCTGTGTGGTCTCCGTGTCGCGGTGCATAGAACTTTGTTAAAAACCTGAAAGAGAATCTGTTTATATGGTGCTTGAGGCCGTTTCAGCTCTAAATGTTTCTATCTAAATACGTATAGCCTGTTTCTGATACTAACTGAAGACTGTACACCCGTCTCTCCGTCGCTCCTCGCTCTCCACACCTGGGGAGGTCACGCTCTTTGATCTTTGACCTTCTGGCCGTGTAACGAATGAAGGATGATATTTATTTTCTAACCTCAGGAGGCCTGTACGACAGAGTCGCTTAAAGTATATAATTTATTATTTACGCATAACGCTCCACAAAATACTATGCATTAAACTGTACAGTAGCTGAATCCATGTCACATATAAATATATACATATATATTACACTTCTGTTCCTTTTTCTATATGAGAGTTGTTGTTTTTTGTTTTGCTTTATTCCTTTTTTTTCTTTGTTTGCAAAATGCACCAGTCACCAAATGGTGGGAGATTATGAATATGAATATGAATATGAATATGAATGTTGATGGTACGTTGATTTCGCTCCTGGTTGATCATCTATTGCAGCTTTTAATCCATTAAGAAATTCAGCTGGAACAAGTGGAACATTTTTAGCGCTAGTAAACAATAAAATTTGACGTGCAGAAATGATCAAAATTCTAATTTTGAATTTCAAAATATAATGTAATATATAATAAGACTTCAGTTTTCACAATTCCTGATTCATTAGAACAGGAGGATCAGTTTTCTCTTTTATGAATGAAATTTGAAATGAAATGTAATGAATCTAATGCTAGTTGAATTTTAGTACAAATTAAATTTTGACAGAATTAAACATCCGTTTGTTTGTGGTAATTTAGTTTCTAATTGTCAGACATTTGAGCTGATTTCTTACTCGTGAAAACTGAATTGCACAAAATTGTGAAAATTCGATTCTTACAGAAATGTTTATTGTTGTTTTAGTAATGATGCATTTGGGAAAAGCCATTTTTACTAGTGATAAATAACTGAAATCAGGCTAAAATGTAACCCCTAAAAATTTGAAATTTGATGTTTTACATTAAATTTACCACAATAGTAGTGATGAGACTTTTACTTGTTCGACTGAAACTCCAGCCGGTTGAAAGCTGAGGCTCTGAGCTGTGATCCTCTGTGTGACGTCCATGTAATGCAGTGTTTCATCATCATGGCTCTGCGTCTCCAGGCGTTCCTGGACTGCTGGGCTGAAGCGCTGTGGGACGCTCGGAGGAGGAATCCTGTATGTTGACGCTCCTTTTCTTTTGCTCGAGTTGTTGTGTTGGCAGAACGTTTATCAGGCGTGAAGCTGTTTCTCATCACGCCACGTTTTGGTCATCGTAATCATGTCTGGACTTTAGGAGACGGTCAGCTCGGCGCTCCGTGGTGTTTCTGAGGAGATGAACAGTGCAGCAGTGTCAGTGTTTGTGTCCTGTTGGGAAAACGTTCCGGTCGGAATGAGGCTCTGAATGACGGATGATGGTCGGATGTAAATAAAGAATGTTTTTGAAGTGGTACGAGATCCTTCTGCCTCTCTGTGTCCATCACAGCTACCATTAAACACACAGCTGTTCAGTCTGCTTTGTTGTACACTCACAAAGAGGTGGTTCTTCAAGGGTTCTTTAGTAAAGACAATAGTTCTATGTAGAACTATGAACACTCAAGGAATGCTTTGCCTGTTTAAATGGTTCTCTGCATGGTGAAATGGTTCTTCAGATTGAGAGAATATGTTGCATACAGTTCTATATAGCACCAAAATGGGTTCTGCTATTCCAACAAGCTTGACATCATAACAATGCTATGTAGAACTATATTCAAAAAGGTTCTATGTAGAACTATGAAAACTCAAGGAACGCTTTGCATGTTTAAATGGTTCTCTGCATGGTGAAATGGTTCTTCAGATTGATGGAGAATGTGTTGTATATGGTTCTATATAGCACCAAAAATGGTTCTGCTATTGTTACGATGTCAAAACTTGTTGCATTAGCAGAACCTTTTTTGGTGATATATAGAACCAGGGCGTTCTATATAGCACCAAAAGCACCAACAAGCGCCAAAAAGAGTGCAGCAGTGTTAGAAATGTAATCCATGCACAAACAAAACAAACAAAAATGTCAGCAAAGTTTCAGTGTTTCCAGTCCATACAGTCCATATGTGCATCAGGGTTGTGATGTCACAACCACGAATATGTTTACAGAGCACAGATTATACTGATTTCTCACCACAGACTAGACAGTTAAGTAATATTACAGTGTTGTGTAACCGTTAACAGTAATTGTTATGACAGATGTCATCATTTGTTGTCATGACGACTAAATTAATCCTAGAAAACCTAGATAAATTGCATCTGCCAAACTGTTACAGCATCCAACACCGTAATATTACTGAACAAAATATGTCAAAACAACTCATTACAGCAAAAGACATCTGCTATAACATGTTTATAGTGTGTTTATATCATTGTAATATAGTAAGGTTCAACTAAAGTCTTATCAAACTTTCTTAACTTTGAATATACATTAATTGGCTTGTAAGATAATGAGTTACTTTTATTCCAGGTCATCTGCAATATTTTATATTTATATAGACAGACATAAAGACAGATAGAGAGACAGAGACAGATAGACAGACAGACAGGCAGGTAGTTGGTGTAAATATAACTGTACAGGTCAGTGTGTCAGACCCAGATGCAGGCTGAAGTCCAGATTTAGAGTAATTTTCTCTTGTGATAAACAAGTTTTCCACCAAGTAATGTCGTTCCTTTAGAGTGTGGTATTGATTTCAAGCAACCCTGGACTGAACGAGGAGATTGTTCAGTCGCCCTTCGCTGTGCACTGAGGTTATTTCATGAATATAAGTTTTTGTTGTATAACAATGAACATATGATAACGCAGCACTGTTTAATGCAGAAACCTTCACTTTATAAGAACTTTTTCATCACCAGATTACAACCACTGGCCTTATTTAGCACCAATCCAGCGGCGCCTCTTCTCACACTGGGGCTGAATCTCAAACGGCTCGCTGCTCCCTACATAGTGCACTAAGTAGGAGTTTAAATACTGGATCCTGCAGCCCAACAGAGCAAAATACAGCTAATAAACAGTCATTTGGGATTGTATTTAGGGAGTACGGAGCCGTTAGAGACTCAGCCTGGGTTTGACGCGACTTCTGACTGAAACAGGAACATTTGAAGTGTGTAAAACATTCAAGAGACATTTTTATTTGTTTATACTGCAGTTTTACAGTTAATCACACCATAAGTGCTTTAATTTGAGCCTGTAATATTAATGATGGGGTTGTTTAGCATGTTTGCTATCTTTTAGCCTGTTGGCTAGCTGACCAGCCTGGTTCTAGTTAAGAACATAAGTCGCCAGCTGCTCAGTTTGAACAAAAAATGGGTTCTTACTTCATCAGTGCACTCGGTGCTCCATGCGAGCAGCATTAGAGTGAAAGATTACTCCATTAACAGCAGAAGGGTTTTTTTGGTGTAGTAATACAGAGTTCAGTTGTTGTGAGGTGGTCATAGTTGTGCGTATATCATGGATTTTACTAGGGCTTCAAACACGGCTCAGCCAATCAGATCTTAGGACTGGAACTATCTGTTTTATAATGTGCATTATTGCAATTAATAAAGTGATTATTAGGGATTTTCACACTGTGGATCTCAATGCAGGTCATAGTGAGTACAGATTAATGCAGACACTAATCTGGGCTTCACTGGACACAGAACGAGACCGTAACAGTGCTTCTTTATTGGACCAGCACTCAGAAGCTAAGTTGGAGGAATGTTCAGAGATGAGGAGCCGGTGTTATCCGGTCAGGCTGACGTACCAACGCTATTGTTCTCCGCTGTAAACTTCACTAATCCCCTCTCTGCTGCTCTCGGAAACAAAACCGTCCTGCCGCTCTGCTGCGATCAATGAGAGATGATGTCATCTGTTTGAGAAGGTCAGCAGCTGCCATTCAGCTGTGATCTGTGTTGGGTTAAAGCCTGCGGAGATGATCTGCAGATAGCCGGAGCTGCTTTAGTCCAGCAGGCCCCAACAGCGCCGGAGCTCCAGCCTCCAACAATGACCGTCGCTTCTCTCGGCGTATAGATGCTATCTCCACCTCAGAGCGGCACTCCTCAGAGGGCTGTTTGCTTTAGTGGATGGAGAGTTATTAGCAGTAGAGGAGGCGCTGAGGGACCTTTAATCCTCGTCTATCTGTGTTCCAGCACTCAGGAGGGCCAAACAGATTTGTCTAGAAAAACACAGAGCGGAAAAACCTCCGGAGGGAAGCAGGAGGACCAACACTAACGCTGACCACAGAGACAGATACTGTCCATCAAGTGTTTGGGGACACCTAGATTTCAAAATGATCATCTTTTCTTTTTATGATTAGAATATATTTTTCTAATCATTAGAAAATTGAGCAAAAATCCATATTAAAACATCACATTAGTGCATTAAAGTGGATTCCGGCATAACTCAGTGTGTGAGATATAATCAGAGTGATTCAGAGTGGTTTGGTGTGAAATGGTTCAGATGTGTTTACAGTGGTGGTGATGGGAACCAGGGGTCGCCATGACTACAACACAGATATAGACATTTTATTTACTATCCAGAACCACCAGTGAACCTACACGAGTCTTCTGAGTTTATATGGAATGTTGATGATGGAAAATAGTGGAAAATCTGAAATAATAAGTTTTCTTTGGGGACTATTTTGCCTCACAGCGCCCTGCATGTATCCCTCCACCATGAATGGAGTTTAAGTTCTCTAAACTATCATAAAACAGTGTCTCAGTCATCAGGCAGTGAATTCATAACCATTTCATGTAGGAACTTTCTGTGAGGGAGCTTTTAGAGGTGGACGTCTGGTTCCTATCACCACCACTGTGAACAGTTCTGCCCTGTGATGGACTGGCGACCTGTCCAGGGTGTATCATGCCTTCCGCCCTGTGACTGCTGGGATAGGCTCCAGCACCACCTGTGGCCCAAAAGGATAAACGGTTTAGAATGTGTGTGTGTGTGTGTGTGTGTGTGTGTGTGTGAGTTTCTCTAAAATGGGGGGTTTCAGACCAAACCACTTGTTTAACTACCAACATTATTAGGAAGTGACAGAAGAACCAATCACGCTCTGTGGGACCAAATAACGTCACTTTAGTCCTTCTGGAGGTTCTAGATACGTCACTGACTGTGAATATGAGTCGTAGTCTAAGCAGGTTCTGGTTTGTTGTTAGGAATGTTGAACAGCGCCGGCAGCTCTATGGACTCTTTACTATAAGAGTCACTGTAACACTGATACACACAAGATCAGACATCTGATAATGTCAGATACAAGATGAACAATAAAACATGGAATCAGGGCTGCAGCACCTCCTGATTTCAGGATTGCAACTGTAAACAACAACAACAACAACAACAATAATAATAATAATAATAATAATAATAATAATATACAGATTTGAATTTTTAATAATTTGATGGCAGCAAAGACTTTGTGCACTTATTTTAGAGAGGAGTTTGTATTTTTCTATTTTTGTTTATACATTTTTAAAATCTACACTCTTAAAAAAGGTTCTTAAATTGTTCTTTAGTAAAGAAAATGTTTCTGTATAGAACCATGAACACTCACAGAACCTTTTGCATGATTAAAGGGTTCTTTGTGTCATGAAATTGTACTCCAGATTGAAGAAGAATTATATATGGTTCTATATTTTACATCTTTATGTGGAACACCAATGAGGGTCAGTAGCACCAGTGACTCCTATGGAGAGAAGAAGAGTGGACATTTCTGTAGAATGACCCACATACTGTCATCTCTCGCCTCATTATAGTGCAGAATGACAGATTCTGCTTGACATAAAGAGTCCAAAAAAGATTCAAATGGAAAAAAGGCAAATCATCTACGTGACGTCTCTGTTTACGTCACGGAAGGAATGACTTTTTTAAGACTGACTGACTGTTGGACTCGTGTGGATGGGAGCAGAAATCAGATCATCACAGAGATGATTTTGGGTGAGTTTGGGCACTTCTGGCCGGAACCAAAGGCCGAGTTCTGGTATTTTCAGTTCACTGACTTTAACAACAGTTTCAGAAAGAAAACTGTCAAATCATCATTTAGCAAAATCTGCTCTTCATACTGAGAAGATGCTTTAATGAACATGAAGCTGAAGATGAATAAACACAAAACATCAGCACAGAAAATCAAACACTACTCAGACATTTGCTGCACACAGTCTCCATTTTTGGTTTTATCATCTCAACACTCTTAAAAAAGATGGTTCTTCTATGGTTCTTTAGTAAAAACAACCATGAGTTCTGTATAGAACCATTTCTGTACTTGCATGATCAAATGGTTCTTTGTATGGTGAAATGTTCTTCAGATTGATGGAGTGTGTGTTGTATATGGTTCTATAGAACCTTTTTGAAAATACTCCTATTGTTTACAGGCTACAGTAGAACCCTTTTTGGTAATATATAGAACCATATATAATACATTCTCCATCAATCTGAAGAATGATTTCACCATGCAAAGAACCATTTAAGAATGCAAATATGGAAATATGGTTCTATTTGGAACTCACCGTTAAATAGGTCTTTTCATGGTAGAACCTTTTTGACAATGGTTCTATATAGCACCAAAAAGCGTTCTATTGTATACAAGCTCGATGTCATAACAATAGAAGTTGGTGCTGCAGAACCATGTACAACACATTCTCCATCAGCCTAAAGAACATTTCACCATGCGAAGAGCCATGCAGGCATGCAGATGGTTCTTTAAATGATCATCGTTCTATATACAACTGCTGTCTTTACTAAAGAACCCTTGAAGAACCTTCTTTGTTAAGAGTGAGTATTCTGAGCAATAACACTGGGATATTTACACTCATAGAGCAGAAATGTTTGAAATAAGATAAAAACACTGAACAGAGTTGAGGAATCTGAGTCAGCGGATGAAGAAAAGCCGACATGGAGACATTCTTCATCGGATACTTCATCACGTCTGTCCTGCAGGTGATGCCTTAAAAGGCCGGTCCTGTCCGCCGGGCGGCTGACGGAGAGGCTCTAATGTAAATATTAGACCAGCTCATATCAAACGGAAATTCCCAGCAGTGAAGCTGCTCAATGCTGCAGTTTCAACACAGAGCGTCTGATTGGTCTCAGAGTCAAAACATTCACCAACGCCGTGACCTCACGGTCAGTCTGCTGGGGACGGACACATCTGAGATTTCTCCAGAGTACAGCTGGGGTTACGAACAGCTGAGTTATCTTTAGCGTTCAGTCCCTGAACTCTCTCAGCAGGTTCTCCTGTAGAACACAGTCTGTTCAGGCTGGTCCTGCAGCACTGCAAACGCAGGCACTGCACCATCCGTTCCTGCAGTTCTGGGAAAATGAAGTTGAAGGAACAGGTTCAGCAAGAGGTGCTGATACTGCTTACAGTGCTTTAGTGCACAGCATGTAGCACGCTTACTAGTGCTGTAGTGCTCGAGTCCAGTCTCACTCTCAAGACCGGACTCAAGGGCATAAATTAGTCTCAGTCTACACATTATTTGGTCTCGGTCTTGACATGGTTTGGACTCAGTCTTGTCTTAGTCAACATTGTTTGGACTAGGTCTCATCTTAATCTTGACCTCATTTGGACTCTGTCTCGTCTTAGAACATCATTTGGTCTCGGCCTTGACATAATTTGGACTTGGGCTCTTCTTAGTCTTGATGTAATTTGGACTTTATCTCAACATCATTTCTCGGTCATTCATCAAGTCCCACAAAGTTCAGTTTGAGGGCCTTTGATTTTCTCCTTGAACATGTGACCTGTAGATAACATAACTATCCCCTAATTTACTACAGTTACACACTTAGATGTAACATTAATAGTATGTTGGAGTGTTCTTATGGTTATATATGTGAGTTTATATATCAGCTCACAGATACTACTGAAAACAATATGACGAACTGGGAATTCTGCCAAATCTCCTGATTACCCACTGAGGCACTGACGTATAATAAACATAGCTATAAGACATTTTTATTAATAATTGTTGCCATGTTTATAACAGCTTATGGATGGATTTTAATGTGTTCTGAACGTGTTTAGAGAGTTATACAGATATTTTATACAAAGTGTTACTGAAAGGTCCTAAAACACTAATCCAGTCTGATAATGACACATATTAGATACACTGACTAGATCTCAGGTGCTGTAATGTCCTGCAGTGTAATTAGAAATAAATAAATAAACCTCAGACCATCAGGATTCAGAATTCAGGCTCATTTATTTTTACTGTCAGAGGACAAACAAAGTAAACAAAGCCACCTAGAAACTGAGAGTGCAGGAGAACATGAGCAGGTGCTGACGGACAGGTGAAGTGTGAAAGTGTGAAACAGCACTGTGAGGAATGTGGAGTGTCCTGTCCTGGTCAGCAGCGCTAAGAGGACTGGACCCTCCCCAGCTCAGCCTGGCACTCCTCCAACTTTCTCTGCACTTCATTAATCAGTGAGTGGTCAGTCCCATGGGTCACCTTCATCACATCATATGCCTGACAACAGAGAGAGAGAGCAAGAGAGAGAGAGAGAGAGAGAGAGAGAGTGAGAGAGAGCAAGAGAGAGAGAGAGAGAGAGAGAGAAAGAGATACAGAGAGAGAACAGAGAGAGAGAGATACAGAGAGAACAGAGAGAGAGAGATACAGAGAGAGAACAGAGAGAAAGAAAGAGAGGCGAAACTTAAGTATGGGAGAAATTCTGCAAATTTTAGTCCACAATTATTATTTGCGTGCTGAAATAATAACACATGGTACATGCACAGGTGTTTCAGTCTGTATTCAGTCAGACCCCCTCAAGCTGAAATCACAGCCGCCAAATATTTCGTGAAGCCAGCTAACAACGTTTTTCCTTGTAGAAGAGGTGCCAAAACTTATGCATACACAACATTTATATATATATATATATATATATTTTCAGAAATAAGTTGTCTTGCATGAACAGCCTGTTTAAGATCTTCCCACAGATTTTCAACAATAGGTGGACGCTGACGGCCTTTTCACAACTATCTTTCTTTTCTAGAAGCACTTTGATGTTGATGCAGATCACTGTAGCACCCAAACGCTTCACTGACTGCAGGACATAAGCTTCCTGAGTTTGTTTATAGTTGGTATAAATATTCTTCCTTCCATCCCCTCAACATGTATTGTGCCACGCAACCCCACAGCATAAAAGATGTACAGTTTGCACTGTTCTTTTTAACATATGCTGCTCTTTTTTCTCCCAATATACACTATACAGCCAAAAGTATGTGGATCCTACTACTTACAGAGTTCAGGTGTTTCAGCCACACATGTTTCTAACAAGTATATAAAATCAAGCACATAGTCATGCAATCTCAACAGACAAACACAGGTAGGAGAATGGGTCCTGAAGAGCTCAGTGACTTTAAACATGGCACCGTCATAGGATGCCACCTTTACTACAACTCTGTGAAATCTCTGCCCTGCTAGAGCTGCTCCTTCTGTAAGTGCTATTATTGCAAAATGGAGAAACAGCAGCTCAGTCACAAAACGGTAGACCACACAAACTCACAGAGCAGGTCCACTGTGAAGCTAGTAAACTCACCTATCCTCTGTTACATCACTCACTACAGAGCTCCAACTGCCTCTGGAAGCAACATCAGTGCAAGAACTGAGTGTCAGTATCTTCATGAAATGGGTCTCCATGGCTGAGCAGCTGCACACAGGCCTAAGATCACTATGCGCAGTGCCAAGCGTCGGCTGGAGTGGTGTAAAGCACCGCCACTGGACTCTGGAGCAGTGGAACCGTGTTCTCTGGAGTGATGAATCAGCTTCTCTACCTTCCAGTCTGATGATGAATCTGGGTTTGGTGGATGTCAGGAGAACGTTACCTACTGGAATGCAGAGCCAACAGTAAAGTTTGGTGGAGGAGGGATGATGGGCGGGGCTGTTTTTCAGGGTTTGGGCTCCTCAGTTCCAGTGAAGGGTGATGTTGATGCTGCAGCACAAAGACATTTTACACAGTTATCTGCTTCCAGCTTTGTGTCAGCAGTTTGGGGAAGAGCCTTTCCTGTTCCAGCATGACTGAGCCCCTGAGCACAAAGCAGCTCCATAAAGACATGGAGTGACCAGTTTGGTGTGGAGGAACTCCAGTGGCCCTCACAGAACTCCTTTGGGATGAACTGGAACGTCAACTGTGAGCCAGGCCTTCTCGTCCAACATCAGTGTCTGACCTCAAAAATGCTCTTTAGACTGAATGGACAGACTCACTTCGCTGCAAAGGGGGGCAGCTCTATATGAAAGCCTATGGATTTAGAATGGAACATCCAGCAAGCTTATATAGGTGTGATGGTCAGGTGTCCACAAACTTTTGGTCCTACAATGTACCTTTGGTGATTGTAGGCATAGAAAAATTCTGCATGCGAAATGTACACAGATGTAAATGTAAGGTAAGCCGATTTAATTAACACCTTAATAGCTGAGGTGGCGGTTTGGGGGGGACTTAACTATCACTTTAAAGCTGACCTGTCTGAAGTTGCTCTGAGCGTCTTCCAGTTTTCCCAGGTAATGCTGCAGCTTGCCAACCCTGAGCAGCTCCACGGCTCTGGACGGATGGGGATCAGGATAGTGCAGCCTGTGGGAGGGAAAACACATTGTTTTTGCTATTTTACAGTAGAAATATTAATTTTATGCATTTTAATGAGTTCTGCTCCAAACACCTGTGTTTACATGTTGCTTATAATAATCACAAATAAACACCTACACACAGGGATCAGGGCAGATGAGTAATCTGATCTACACGCTCAGGCTTACTGTATGTGCTGTGTGTACTTTCACTGTACAAACTAATATTCAAAATAATTTTCCTAGACCTCATCAACACTTTAATCTTCTGCATTTTATGTCATTATATTTTGTACTGGGTGGGAGATCATGGAGAAGAGCAACTCAGTAAAGGGCCGACAATCTACACTTTTCTTGCATTGAGTTCACTTAATCCAACTTTGTGGGTTTAATGTTACAAAAGCAATCAGAATTCATTTTTACATGGCCAAAGAAGTTAAACTGCTTTGGACTGAATGGGCGGGGCTAAACTGCTGTAGGCTGAATGGGTGGGGCTAAACTGCTGTAGGCTGAATGGGTGGGGCTAAACAGCTGTAGGCTGAATGGGTGGAGCTAAACTGCTGTAGGCTAAATGGGCGGGGCTAAACTGCTGTAGGCTGAATGGGTGGGGCTAAACTGCTGTAGCTGAATGGGTGGGGCTAAACTGCTGTAGACTGAATGGGTGAGGCTAAACTGCTGTAGACTGAATGGGTGGGGCTAAACTGCTGTAGGCTGAATGGGTGGGGCTAAACTGCTGTAGCTGAATGGGCGGGGCTAAACTGCTGTAGACTGAATGGGTGAGGCTAAACTGCTGTAGGCTGAATGGGCAGGGCTAAACTGCTGTAGGCTGAATGGGTGGGGCTAAACTGCTGTAGGCTGAATGGGTGGGGCTAATCTGCTGTAGGCTGAATGGGTGGGGCTAATCTGCTGTAGACTGAATGGGTGAGGCTAAACTGCTGTAGACTGAATGGGTGAGGCTAAACTGCTGTAGGCTGAATGGGCAGGGCTAAACTGCTGTAGGCTGAATGGGTGGGGCTAATCTGCTGTATTATGATTAATTGTATATTGCTGAATTTATGCCACATTTTGTACAAAATGACATTTTATAATAAGAGTTTATGATGTTTTCTTGATTAAGCAGTAAAAGAGTTTTCAGTCATCTGTTCTGTAAAATCCTAGTTTTCACAGTGAATTATACATTTTAACTCTAACCTCACCCAGAGGCTAGATCATGGGTTTATAAAATTATGCATATGCATGCATATTTAAGTAGTTGACTTATTTGGATATCAAATTGTAAATTAGTTAAATCTGCAAAGCTTCCAATGTGAAAAATCCTCAATAACCAACACTTGGAAAGACTGATTGTGAAATCTATTTTTTTAAATAGCCCTACTGACCTGTATGTCTTATCGCTTTCTGAAATCAGTTCTGATGCTGTGAGTGTTTAACAGAAGGTCTTTTTAATATTGAAAGATGAGAAAAAAGAATAGTTTTCAATGCAGATCTGTTGATGCTGCTCTATTGTCATTCATTACATTTTGAACGTACAGTTTGTGTTATTCTTCATTTTCCTTGCATTCCCTTCACAACGTTTCTTCTCTTTGCTGTATTAGACAGTGAAGTGAATCATTTTGAGGAAATCAGACGTGGTGGACTCCTCCCGCTGCACACGCTGCTTTCAAAATAGAACGAGACGATCTTAATTAAATTTCAATTTCCTTTTTTTGTTTCCAGCCTGTGGAGACGTGTGCTTGAGCATCACTGGACCACTGCAGAAAAACAAACACAGAGACGCGAGTGGTCACTGACGAGCGAGAGGGAAACGAACTGGAATGATCCGGAACTGAGCACAGTGGAAAAAACAAACAGGCTCAGGAGGAGCTTCACAACTCCAGCCCAAAACAAAAACAGTCCAAAGCAGGAGCTCGTCCACTCCAGGACTACACAGCTTCAGCTTTCACATCATTAACAACGTCAGTTTTTTGTGTTTTTGTAACAATGACAAAGAAAAGAAACAGAGAAAAAGCTTAACATGTTCTTTATCTTCAATAATACTGTAACTTTCAGAATATTCTTAGTCAGGGCCACCGGAACCACAGGGGTGAGTGGGCATTTGACCCACAATTCTCATAGACAATCTTGAGAACTGGGTTGGTCTCTCAGGAACTGTCCTAAAATGCTTCAGTTCATTCCTGCTAGGAAGAAGCTACTTTGTGGAAATAGAAAATAACGTTTCTGAGTGAGTGCCAGTGACCTGCGGTGTCCCCCAGGGTTCAATTCTTGGGCCACTCTTATTTAATTTATACATGCTGCCTCTTGGCCAAATACTACAAGATTATGGCAAATCTTACCACAGCTATGCAGATGATACTCAGATCTACCCTTGATTTACTCTGTAAGTGACTTGAGCAGGACAGCAGGAACCATAGGGGGCAAGCGGGCATTTGACCCACCACTTTCCAACATACTGGGGTGACGACCCACCACCAGAGAACATTTATGTGTTTATTCATTTTTAATTAATGTTTTATTATGACCTGAACTGGACACTGTTTATTCAAAATACGCCAAACTGTCAACAGCAAAACACAGGCACTTGTAGTAGACCTTAAAATATTACATGAATACTTGAAATATTCGAAATGTAAACGTCCCCAGGTGCTCGGTCTTTCAAACCTGCCAATTTGCTTGAACTGGACACCTGGCGTCCTTTCTTAGCTGCAAGTTCATTAAAGCTTCGGCTCAGTTTCTGAGCTGCTGAGCTGATGTTCAGTGTTTATGTTGGTTGAACTGCAGCTGAAAGGCAATTCAGTGACATGACTGGTGTGGAATTGTGTAGAACTGAGGTGTAACTGCTGTCCCATAGACTGTTGTTGGGGTAGGAGAGTCAGAGCGCACATTACGTTGCAGTGCATGCTGGGGACTGCAGTGCATGCTGGGGACTGCAGTGCAGCGCAACCCCTAAATTAGAAATATAGGGAATGAAAACACTGTGGTCTGGATAGGACTGAGTCGCGGGTCTGATCTGCCTCGCGGGCCTTGTGTTTGACACATGGGCTTCAAGTGAACCTGGTTCAGTTCCCTGCTGTTGGGAACGCATCTTTATGATGGTTCACACCAAACAAGAGGATTCAACATCAGGTTATTCTTCCACTGTGCAGGTCAGAGCTGAACTGACCGCTTAATCTGCCTGTCTAACATCTGACTTTTCACACATTCTCATATCGTTCCTGCGGCGCGACCTGCTGTTAATAACAGCAGAGCAATAAAATAATAGCAAAGATGTTTGATATAAATTAGCAACAAATAAATCAAAAGAAAAAAGGCGAGTCATGTTGCATGTTGTCATCGTCGTGTCACATTTACACTGCTTAAAATTTCAGCACCACAACTTAAAACACCTTCTGGTTATATGTTACATGTAAAAAGGGGAACAAATATACTTTTTCATTTTACTTACAGTTTCGTTTGTTTGTTTCTCTTATCTGTTTGTACACTTATATATATCATCATTATCACTATATCATTATAGTTTTATATTGTCATCCTGTTTTTCGACGGTTTAATTTTGTAGTAGTGTTCTGTAAATGAGGCCTGAACGTCTCAATGTGTTCAGCATTATAGTCCACAATAAAATCCTCTTAGTCATATTCCATATTATCTGTATTGTTGTAAATAGGTTGCATGTTTAGTTCTCAAACTGGAGGTTCTGCAGATGTTCTGTGATAGATTAGTTGACTGCTGGGTTCTCTGCGCTGTTCAGTGAAGTGCTTCTCGTTCCTGCTCTCTGTTTGTAAAAGCAAATCCGACTGAGTGTTTCTGAACGTGAGTGTGAGCTGTGAGCTCCATCTGATCTCCCTCCTCGTCTCCTCCTGTGCCAACGTGGCTGTCCAGGCCAATAAGGACACAGAGCAGCATCCGTCGTCTCTGTTGCCCTGGCAACAGCCCGAAGAGCGGTGGGGGGGTGGGGGCGTGAGAGGCCTGTTAGCGCTTTCATTAGCGTTAGCACTGCCTCTTTATTCATCTCCTTACTGGATCATTACCAAGAACAAAGCGCTGTGTGCTGTGATGGGACCACTTTAGAGGAATATTAAATCACAATCACGGCTCCTCAGCAAACAGCGGCGCTTCAGGAAAGACAAAAGCCCTTAATCTCCCATCAGCCCCGGCACCCCTGCACCGTAACCCGGCCCACCACCTGCTTAACGCAGGTCTGCTTCACGACGTTAACCACAAATCACTCTCTGAGCGGCAGCCAGGCCGGGTTAACTGTTCTACTGTTACTCCTGAACTCCTGAATGAAGGTCTGATCGATCGGTCACTGAACCTGATCAAACACTGCCACACAGACAGGAGAAAAGCTTCTGAGACTTTTACCAGCGATTGATTATGGAAATATCATTAATACACACACAGCTTTATTCTGCTTCCGCACATCAGACACTGTTTATCATGGAGCTGTAAGGTTTATTACCTGCTGTGGGTCGATTACTCACCACTGAGTTCTTTATGAAAGAGCAGCTCTGCCCTCATTAGCTGGATTTCCAATCAAAAGCTCCAAAAATGTTATGCACATTTATGAAGTTTCAGCAGAAATAAAATTAAATTAAGTCGTGTTTCCATCCACTACAGTGATGCAGAGAAACTTTAGATGACGTAGGATATTAACATTTTGAACTTTGCCGTAGCATAAAAACTTTTTTTTTCCAGGCTTTTCTACTTTTTTATTGTGCATTTTCAAAATTCAGAAAAAATCGGTGGATAGAAAACCTGCTGTTGACAACAAAATGGCTGATTCGTTGTTATATTTTAATTTATTGATCCAAACTTCATATCTGCACTCTTAAAAAGATGGTTTGTCAAGGGTTCTTTAGTAAAGACAATGGTTCTATATAGAACACTCAAAGAACCATCCGCATGCTTAACTGGTTGTTTACATGATGAAATGGTTCTCTAGATTGATGGAGAATGTTCTGTATTGGGTTCTGTATAGCACCAAAAAGCGTTCTGCTATTGGTATGATGTCAA